GGTTTTTTCTTGCCTTCCTAATAAACTATTCAACACTGATTTAGCTCCACTGGTGTAACTTATTTCCATAACATTATAGGCACTGCTTTAAAGTACAGGCATGCACATAAATATTACTGTTTTAGCAGAGATGATGCTACAGCTCAGCATTCTCACTTTTTTTTTTTCTTGAGTCAGGGATCACTACCCAACCTCAAAAACTCTCATAGATTATCATAATAAATCTTGTAATTGAAAAGAATATAAAAGTGTCCAGGTTCTGCAGACAAGTTGTAAATCAGTCATAAGAGTTTTGTGGTTCAGTGGCTGACGACAGAATTGAGCCTGGAAACCACAGCTATAATGCTAAATTGCTTTGAAATATGTGGATGACTATGCATTAAAAAATTAATGTGGATCAAGCACACGGCACTGAAACATTGCATCAAACATACAGTAACACAGAATTGCAATTAAAAAAAGCAACAGACCCAAACCAGTAAAACATTGGCAGATAATTGGCAGATAATTGTCTAACTCTGTTCTCCAATCTGTGCTTCTTTGTAAGTCATGCCCTTTCCCAAGGAAGATTTCCAGAAGGTAAGACAGTGTAAAGGTGCCACCCAACACATTTTTTTTAAATGTCAACTCAGATAAGACTCAACAGCAAAAAGTTCATTGAATAATTTAATGTTATTACTTTTGACAAAAATGAAATTACCTTCCCATTAAGTATTTCTATTTTGAGGAAAAAAACTTCAACCTTCAGGGACTTGCAAAACTGTGCAATTTTTCTTTGGATAAAACAGTTGATAAATTCTCTTTTGGGAAAACTCACCTCTTTTGTTGTTGTTGTTGATCAAAGTTTCAAAGGAATAATGCATTTTTATTTCACCAAAAGTAATATTTTCTAATGGAAGTACTGTCTCAGAAAGTGTTTAATTGACAAACACAAGCTTTTTATCTTTAAAGCATGCAGCACTGATTTTAATTCTTTTGCTAGCAAAAAACTATTAAAAAGGGAGCTGTACAGCTGTGTTCAGGATATACACTGTATAATTTAATAGGTCTCTTCTATTTCTGATTTCAGTAATTCACTGAAATATTTATGGCCTTGCCAGAACAATGAATACACAGAGTTATGTCTTTAGTTATCATTAGGCTGCTCCTTCCCAGGCAGCTCTTCCAGTAAGGAAGAAAAGGCACAGTTCTAGTTTATTAGCTGAAAGAATTTCAAAGGTATTCCCTCCCAATGCAGGCTCATCCCCACAAATTGGATCTTGCAGGAAATAATTTTCTCTCTCTAATACTAAAAATACAAGGAGACAAAGCAACATGAGTTTCAGCAAACCTTAGCAATCAGCCAGTACTCCTGGGGTCAGCAGAAGACACCTATTTTGATATTCAGCCTCTGCAAATGCATCTTTAATATCACTAACCCAGTAACAGGAGTCAAGTTAACCAGGACACGCCTGTCCATGCTACAATTACATCTGGATTTTGATGTACAGGCATAAAAAAGGGGATGAGGAACAGCCCATGTTTACATGTCAACTTAATAGAAAATCTCCTGATGAATTACAGCCAATGACCTGTGCAAAGTTACAGCACTGTTGTATCCATAAGATCCATAAGATCCATAAAATAGCAATAATGTATATGGCATTAATTCTGTTGTAATAAACACCAGGCCTGCAACAAATAAACACAAGAAATGTGAATACTTAGCAATATTGGCTCTTCTCAAAATAGCAAAATTGTTATTTGTGAAGATTTGCCTACTCTGCCTTATAACTTAGCTCCACTCACACTGTCAAAAGAATGAGAAGGGATAACTGAAACATTCCTGACTCTGGAATGGTTTTGGCAATTGAACATAACATAGCTGAAAAAACCCTGAACTGAAGAAATTGCTAAAATTCCATATTTCAGCTTTTAATGCCTGAGACCAAAATCAACTTAACTACCAAGAGATCAAGCAGTAACTGAGCTGAGCACCAGCAGTTTCCACTGCGGTGGAAGCAGTTTCCTTCTTTTTATCCAGTCGGCATCCAAGGAAAATGAATACAAAAACTGGGCAACTAAACTTCTGCCTGGAGGATCTTTGACATCAAATGCACGGTGACTGTTGTGACCAGCAAGATCAGTATGAGCCAGGTAAGTAGGATTTTTGGAATTTATACCGATTTGGAGATCATGCCAGTGAAATTCAGCACAACTGCCGTGTGTCAGATCTCAGGCTGACGACGGATTAAAGGAACACGATGGGATGAAACAGTTCAGGACGCACTGCTTGAGTTCCTGCAGGCTCCATAGCATTTCATGGATACAGATGGCTGGGATTACATCAACAGGAGCAAGTCTGTATTTTTGGATGGAAGTTTCAGAGGCAGAGTGAGGAAATTAGCAGCCAAAATACTTGAAAGCTGTGTTAAACCAGTGCCCATTTCAAAATGCCATTTGCCTGTTATTTTATGGGGAGATAAGTATGTTCCAGGGTTAATCAGATTTTGGCCATTACCAGCACCAAGTGTATTTCTTTTCTAATTTTGTAACAGAAAAGAAGAAAATGCTCTCTCTATTCTTTTTAGCCTGATTTGCACCATATGGTCTACTAAGTGCAGGCAGCAACTACTTTTAAATGCTGCAGTTCTTTCACTGAGGCATTATTACCCTTTGTATGATGAAAGTAATTTTATGTCTTCAGGAGATCCTTGCATTCTGCAAAGCAGAATGGCCTCTCAAGGCTTAGTTTCTAAAAATACCTTACAGCCTTTAAAGAAGATGAAGAATGAATCTTTCAAGGGATGAGCCCGATTATTCTGTTTATTACTTTGTTATTTGCATTTCAGGATCTTGAGGATCCTGCAGTAGTAAGCATTGGAAAACGAGCTGTTGGGTTTTTTTTTTTCCAGTCCTCACTTGAAGAATTGCCAAACTGCCTTCACAGAGCTGTCATTCAGCCTGCAAAGCTGAAAACTGATCTGCAGCACTATCACCAGGCAATATGCACTTGAAGATTTTCAGGAATACACTGAACTTCTTCAAGCTTCTTCCCTCAGGCAAAATGTCTTGCTATTACAGAAGAAGGGGACAGTTCGTGGGGCTAATTCATAAATATGTCATTTTGACCTGCTTGTCAAGGATGATCTTTAACAAAGGAAGCAGTTTTCCTTTGGAAGAACACTCCACAACCTTGTCTTGGTACCCAGACTTAGTTTCACGTGTATTGTAAATGAATCAAAGAGGTATTTTGGTTGGGGCTCCTTCACTTCATATTGCACAAAATGAAGCAAAAAATGAAGGAGAAGTTTGTTTGGAAGGTAAAATACATCACAGTGGCTTCCCAGCCAACCATTCTCATCCACTGAGCAACGTCAAAAATATCAACTCCAACTCTCTTAAGAATTCAATAACAAATTATTATGGTGGGGACATCTTTCTGGCAAAAAAGGAGAACTTCCAGTGTGCAGTGTAATGTCTACTATACTTTTGTCTTTGATATCTGATATTTATGAAATGCTACATCCACAAGAGCCCCCTTTTCATTGACAGCCCATCTGCAAGAAAACTTTAGATCACATGGGGAACACTGAGTGAGAAGCTGGCACAGAGGACTGCAGACAGAATGCTATCAAATAGTTACTTTGCCTTAACCACTTTTTTTTTTTTGAGGGAAAGAGAGAAAGCAAGTGAGGTTTAAAGCTTTAATCTCATACCCAAGCTCGTCAGAGCCCAAATCTATCTGTAATACTCTCCAAATCAGAATGAACTCAGAAAGATGACGTTCAATCTTTAAATCCTTCTCTGCAGACCTATTTTTAATTCTCAGGTTCAGAAAATGGATCCCTGCTGTGGCTCCAGAGCTTTCTAACATGTATCCTACCTATTATGTTTGACACAACCACATGGTAGAATTCAGTTGCATTCAGAACTAAGGGTTTTCCTTGCACAATTTCCTGTGTAGGGTTTTAAAACCAACTCAATGTGACAGAAATACCATTGTCACTAGTGGAAAATCAATTGTCTCGTCTCCTGGTCACTGTTATTTTCTTTCACTTCCACCAGTAACTCTTAAATTATAATATTCTGGAAACTTCTGAACAAATTTTATCTTCTCATTTTGCTTTTTTTGCCATAGAGGGATGGAATAAATAAATGCTTCATAAATAATGTCAAATAAAACATTTTTCATATTTTGAAACATTTTCTTAAACATATTTCTTCAGTCCCTTTCTAAATTAATTCTGAAACTATATAAGATATTCAAATCTTTGATACAATAATTATTGACAACCATAATGAACCACCTTTCCCAAATCTCCTGTGATGTACCAGGCCATTTCTGTTTTGTTTTTTTTTAATCAATCCATTTAAGATGGATTAGAACTGACACGTCTGCTCAACTATAGACAAATGTGATCAAAATACACCATCCTTTTGATGATCTGAATCAGGAATCCTACAATAACCCATAGTTGTTTCTTAACTTTCCAACTGATCCAGTTTATTACAGTAACTCTCATGAACTATCATCATTTTTACCAATGGGAACAGCTTCCTGTTAATGACCTGAGGATATACATGGATATCTCCAAATGGAACTGCTGGCTACATTCACTCCCTAGAGCAACAACATCTTAATGAAGACACTTAGATACATGTTAATGCAAATCCAGCAGAGAAACATGTAAATATTCCAGTATGAAAAAAAAAGAGCATTAAAGTAACAAAATTCTGCTAGTTTTACATGATTCTGATAATCTTCATATTCCTCACTTTAGCATTAATTTTCTGCTTCAAGTTTTTCAGGGAGAAATGTACTCTGGAATAACTTTATATTCTAATTCTAGTTTGATTAAGATACATATTGAACTGACACTGAACCTGCACTATCCTCCGCTTCTATGAATGATTTATCCCGCCAGTCCCCATCCAATTTAGAATGAAATGATCCATCTTCCTGGCTAATGAACTGATACCACATTTCAAAGCACACAAAGATGCACACACTCACTCACAATCTACTTCCAAAATGGCACGGACAGACTTGGCAAGGTCTCTGGCTTCTGCTGCAAGAGCCGTGGTGGCGGCGGGTCCGACCCTTCCCAGCCGGGCGAGAAGTGCTTTGGTGGACAGTGTTGCTCTCCCGTCACTAAGAGAACAAACAACAGTCAGTGTTTCTCTGTAAGGTGATAAAGCAAACTGCTGCTTCTAATACAGCCAACCTGTGTTTCTAGATTGGTTTTGGTCTCACTGCATGGACAAAAGCCACGGATGCTACCAAAGCAATGAGTTTGCCTCAGCGGCGGTTCTGTCTGCACAACAAAGGTATTTGGAAAGCTCAGTTCAAGCCACATTCGTGACTCAAAGTGCAGCATCAAGAACTCAGTGGGTGTCAGGGAAGGAACTTGCTTCAATGGAATTATTGTATTAGCATTTAAGAAGGGACACTGCTTCATAGGACCCAATTATTATCTTTGAGGCTGTTACTGAGTCAGTTTGTCACCTCGGCATTGTGTTTGATATTTAATCCATTTACTAAAATAACCTCTATGAGCTTTATAAAACAGACAATATCACTGTTGTGCAGTGCCCATGGAACTGCTTTTCACTGACTATCTGCAATATCATCATTGGTCTGAGCCTCTATACTTATTTTTTTTGAAATAATGTTCCAGCTCACTTCACTTAAATACATTTGATTTCCTTGAGAGCTTTACTGAAAAAGATCACAGGATAGAGACCAAACAACTTTACTGTTACAAAAATATTAATGGAACACTATCTGGGATATATAAAGTACAATCATGTCAATATTCTGAAGGACAAAAGGCCGCTGAAATCTTTTTGAATATTCCTAGGCAATATCCCCAGGATCTTCAAAAAGATCAACTTCTTTTACAAGAAAAGTAATAAAATGTAAATGGATATGCATGTTATCAATTTATTTATATGCTGCTGAATTCATCATGATGCAAAAATCACTTAGGCAATTCTAAAAAAAAAATAAATTTAAAAAATTATAACCCACTGTTAAGGTTCGTTGCATTTTAACTAATCCTGAGTACATTATAATTACTTCATGGAAACATCCAGACAACCATAGCTATGTAATTACTAACTGTTTTAATTTAATTCAGAGGTTTTTAATGAAGCTGTATCCTGAAAGCCTAATTTATAATTCATGCCATTGCCTCTCCTCCAATAAAATGAAACTCAGAACTATACAGCAAAAATATAAGGAAAAAAATAGCTACAAGACAGTTTTTGGAGACTTGGGAACAATAGTAGGGTTTTCAATATTAATATTGCCATTTCATTACCTTAAAACTGTTGAGGAAGTAGAGTTATCTGAAAGTATTTCATGCACAACCTGTTGGCCACAGTCAAGAAGTTAACAGTTTAGAGATGGACACAGTCAAAAAGTAATACCTTAAAATTTAATGGTCTATTTGGGTGTGGGGCATTTGATTTGCAATTAAAGAGTCTAGTTTCTGCCAGCTAAAAGTGTGAAAGTAAACACCAAAACATTATATTTACTTCATTTAAGGGGGTTATAACAACATCACTTTTCTTATTGTTTCATAACATTCCTAAGTATTATCAAATATCAGTTCTTCTGCCTTTTGCTTCTGAGGAATTTCACAGAAATTGATACAGTTTGTGAAAAAAACAAGTGAACAAACTTATATGATCATTTCCATTTGTTTAATACAGCAAAACATAAAGTAAATTCCTGGATGGATCTGTACACTTATACACCATCTATATTTCTAGCAATGAAAGGATCCCTGCAAACTAGTGTACAGTCAGTTTATTGTGCTTATTCTTCCAAAACAAGGACATAAAAAAAATTTTTCCAAATAAAATATTGCCAGAAACGAAAGGCAAAGTTACCTCTACAAATTGTAGCAATTTTTCAGTAGCCACCTCAAAGGTCTTCCTTGCTGATTCTGATTTCCTCAGCTGGCAGTCAAGCACTGTAACTCTCTTTCTCAAGTCTTGAATGTTATCCTGGGAAAGGTATTTTAAGGCTTTTATTCTAGTAATTTTTTCCCCTGGCTCACACAGATACATGGTGTGAACTGAAAGGGATGCTCGAAATGTTTAACACACTCTTTCCTACATTTCTGAACAACACATCACTGCTCCTGAGGCAGGAATTGCCTGACCTGCTGGCAAAACAGCTCCGGAGGGCAACAGATTTTGGCAAATGAGATAAAGGTAATTTAAAGTTGGAAGATAATAACATTGATGGGGCTGAAGATTAAGGGAGTTTTAACTGATTTGTGAATGGATCAAAAATCCAACCTGATGGTGACAGCATCTGTCAGCAGGGTGGCATAACCAGCCAGTATGTGAACAAACCCAGTCCTCCAGTTTGCATCCACACATCCTTTGGCCAGCACAGTAATTATGGCCCAGCCTGGAGAAAATTACCCCCTGCATGCACTTGTGTAACCTATTGATCAGTGTTATGCATCCCTCCCTACTTCAGCTGGGGACAATGTGAGCCCTGTCAGATCAAGTCCTGGAGGCTCCAAGTTGCAGGTCAAGCCCCTGTTTGTGTGAGAGGACCACGAGGAAAACCCTCACATGCACATGGGCACGTTTGTTTAGCTGAGCTGTCTGCTGAGCAGACAGCATCCAGAAAGATCTCTCCAAAATTAAGAAAATATCACTAGAATTAAAAACAAACTTTTACATGGCACTGTAGGCGATCATTCTGAAAGCCCACTACCTACTCCAAAACTCTCACCATAACCCAATTATTGCCTTTACTCAAAGCAAGTAAGTACAGACATTTGTTTGTATACATTGTACAAAGCAGCAGAATCATCATCAGCCTGAATATCAGAGAATCTGTTGATTCCAAACACCTTTCTTTGGTAATTTCACTGGTGAGATTGGTGAGGGACCTCACTCTTTCATACCAAAAAGAGCATCCTATAGAGTTGGTACCTACTTGATACTGAAATGTAGAGATTTAAATCTCAACACAGGTATTCAATCAGAATTTCAGGAATTCAAACTAGTATCTCCAGAACAATTCTCTAGGAAAGCAACCCATACCCTCTGAATTTCTTAAAATTTTACTTTTTATACCACTCCTAGAAAACAAACATTGATTCAAAAACACCTGACATAAAAGATGGGGCATCTCACCCGGATGTTCAGAAATAAGAACTTCCAGGGTATGAACTCACAATTAAATGAGAGGAATTCCTTTCCAGAAGCCACAGGGACTTGCTGTGTTGTTCTCTGCAAGCTTGTTTACCACACAGCTTGGGTTTACCTTTTAATGCCTTGTAATATTGAAGTAATTCTAATGATGAAATAAGGCAACATTTCAGTAGGTTTTCTTCATCAAGTCATATGCACATCCATTTCTCATGAGAAAAGTAAGGTAACCACACAAATGCCAACCTACTTGCACTTCTACTGTGAGCAGAAAATGGATCTGCAGTTACTGGGAAAAATTTAAAAGTGTCTCAAACATTTTCTTCCTTGGCATATTCTGGAATGCCTCACTGGAGATGAAGTGGGTTTAAAATATAAAGCTCAATTAAAAAGAATTTTTTTTTGGCAGGATTAGTAGCATTTAAGTGATTATCTTGATTAAATCTAAATTTACTTAAGAACAGGACTGGACTTTTTACTGTTGTTATTTGCCTACCAGAAACATAAACATGAAGGCCATTTTCACACGAATACAAAGGCACACGTGTAGCCTTTAAAGACAATATATCTACAGCTCAGAAAGTATTCCATGCCTTAAATGCTTGAGATGTGTCACTCTGACCTATGACCCACATATACCCTCCTAGCTCCTGTTTTTCCAGCCCAAAGATATCTGGATAAAGGAAGACTCGTACCCTCCACACCACCCCCTTCCCCACGCGTCCTTCCAGTTATTGAATAATACAAGACAAACAGTGACCTACTTTAGAAAAGCAGATGAAAAGAAAATGAAAACAAGATACATGACAACAGCGAGGAAACCATGGTAACTCTGACAGGCGACTGCTTTGCTTACTTTATTTTGGCCGGAGTGATCGGCGAGCTGAGCCTTCAGCTCTCCAATTTCAGCTTCCAGCAGGCGAATCACTTCCTCATAGTCCATCTCCATCCCCCGTGCCTGCCTTTGTGCAGCCTCTGCGAGATGGATCCGGCTCCGCAGGGCTCTCGTCTCCTCCACGGCTGCCTTGGCTTCCTGCAGGTTACACGGTTCCAGGGAAAAGTTACAATTCCCTTGAAAAGTTCCAAGCCCAGCTAACAGAAGAACAGATTTAACTCACAGGGGCTGCAGGTGAAGTCAGGGCTACCTGCCAGTGTTTACGGTTGGGTGGTTCAAGTGATAATTTTTAAAGTGTAGGATGTGAGGCCACCCCTGGAGTGCTGTGTCCAGTTCTGGGCCCCTCAGTTCAGGAAGGACATGGAGGGGCTGGAGCAGGTCCAGAGAAGGGCAATGAGGCTGGGGAAGGGACTGGAGCACAAGTCCTATGAGGAGAGGCTGAGGGAGCTGGGGCTGTTCAGCCTGGAGAAGAGGAGGCTCAGGGGAGACCTCATCACTCTCTACAAGTCCCTGAAAGGAGGTTGTAGCCGGGGGGGGGGGGTTGGTCTCTTTTCCCAGGCAACTCTCAGCAAGGCAAGAGGGCATGGTCTTAAGCTGTGCCAGGGGAGGTTTAGGTTAAATATTAGAAAGAATTTTTTACAGAGAGGGTGATCAGACATTGGAATGGGTTGCCCAGGGAAGTGGTGGATTCTCCATCCCTGGAGGTTTTTAAGATAAGATTGGATGTGGCATCAGTGCCATGGGCTGGGAACCACAGCGGGGTTGGATCAAGAGTTGGACCTGATGATCTCGGAGGTCCCTTCCAACCCAGCTGATTCTGTGATTCTATGATTCTATATGTGAGCAAAACCCAGGTATTTACAGAGGCAGAATGTGCCTGATAAATTAAATAATAAAATCTATAATTAGTGTAAATCGAAAGGAATGAAAGGTTTTATAGAAATGCACCAGGTGCTGTTAATCTGCTCCCTCACTTCCATCCTAAAAAAGTGCTTTACTGAGATATTACTTCCTTTTATTATTATTGCCTGAATTCACACTCCAGTGAGTATCCTCCAAGGTGTATATCACCAAGGCATATCCTTGGTTTTCCACTCCAGTCAGAGCTCACACATCATGGAGATGGACTCTTAATGCAAGTATTCTCAAAATCATTGCTTTTTTTAAATTTCTTTTTCTGCCTAGTTCCTGCTCCTATATCTTTATCCTCTATTATCACAGAAGAGTGTTAGATAAAATGTACATATAAATAATGTATGGAAAACAGAAAGCAGAAACCGTTAGTTTTTAATTCAGCAAACGTAATCCCTAAATGTTGCAAAATCTCACTTCGAGAAAGATATTTCGCAGTTCATTTGACTACTGAATATTAATTCAAGTTAATTTTGATTTGTAAATTTAGAAAGTCAGACTAAAGGTCTGGACAACAGATGAGTTTACAAACTAGGAATAAAACAAACAAACTGCTCATAAAAAATGTAGACATACAGGCTCACTGGCACCAAAACCAACAAACCTTCTTTCCCCTTAGCTTTTAATTAATCAGTGGGAAAAGTAACTTTAGAGCAATTTTCTGAAGAATTCAAGTTACAAGCTTTAAACACAAATACACAGAGGCTTTTTTGTACAAATTCCTCAGTTAAGGACACTTAGGTGAATATCCTATTCCTAGTCTACCTATTATTAATATAACTATATCCTAGTTGGGAATGGAACTAGAGGGAAAACAGGTGGGGGAAGAGGAGAAACACACTATGAATCTATAAAAAGTAGGAAATAACCTTCTAGAAAGTAGGCTTGAAATCACTGTTTCTGAAAAACCTAAATGACCAAATCTCCTATTTTTGTGGAAGAAATGGCATACAATATTTAAGAGGTGCCATAATAGAAATGTCTGGAGAGGTCAGCTAAGCTTACAAATGCAGATTTAATTCTTTCCTAACGCAGAAGGTTTTGCCCTGTGCAATCAATATCCTTCAAGTCATGTTTTCCTGTACTTTGTCATAATGTTTCTTCTGTAAAATGATCTACTAATCTCAGCTTCAGATGACTTTTGACTTGTACTCTGTTAGCCTGAATAAGCAATACAGTTCAGGCCATAGGTCAGTTAATCTCAGTGATATATATACAGGACACCATCTTCCTCAGATTTGCAATGGGTCTGCAATAAAATACCACTGTGCACCCCAGCCCCTTAGAAAATACAGCAGTAGAAGTGATCTCACGTGCAGAACAGCAGCATCAGCAGTGACTACAGGTGATATTTGTGTTTTCTATAATTTACAGGTTTCTGTTACAGAGCACAAGCAATAATCAATCCATTAAATGACCTTTAATTTCACAGCAGGTAGAATGATTTTTTTTTTCTCTTGAAAGCCTAAAGCATGAGATGAGCCTTTTCTACACTTATTCACCTCTACCTGGAGACACAGACTATTCCAAAGCTTATTGCTCCATGTCTGCCTGTTATTTGGTGACTTGGTTTCATGGTTGTCTGTTTGCAGCACCACGAGCAGTGCAAGGGTCATCACTGAAAGCAGACTAGAACAATCCACCCCTCTTTTGAGCTGCTCAAAGCAGTTCTTTTTCCTAGAAACAATTCAGAGAACACAGGGACTTCTTAGAAGTTATGAATCTATACAAGCAGAGGTCAAAATTACTGCCTCTGTAGAGGGCACTTTTTTGCCACTCTGAGAAACAATTTGACTCAACAGCAAGGAGAGCTGGGCCCTGCTGATCCAGAGCATGAGCTGTGAGTCTTCAGCAGCAAAGGTATCCTTCAGAAACAGGCTGGAGGTGGGAAAAAGAGCCTTGGAGACAGAAGGGAAAAGGTGCTCCGATGTTAAGTTTGACTAATATAAACGAACCCAGAAGCCTTGACAAAGGGTGGCATCTTAAAAACCCACACACAGGAATTATTTAAATAAACTGACATCAGAAAAGTGAGGGGAAAATTGTTATAATGAAAAGGGAGGTCTTCGTTTTGAAATAAGACCTCCTTGAGATAAAGGTTTAATCTCATATAATCCAGAATTGCCTTTACTCCTCCATTGTTTTTTTCAGAAACCTGGTTGTTGAATATTAATTTCTCTGTAATAGCAGACTGAGTATGACCAGATTTCAACAGTGAAAGACCTAAAGGAATAATTAACAAACAATGGCTTCTTACATTACAATGAAACAATTACACACACTACAACCGAATTAGTAAAATTTTCTGACAAACCAGAGCTGTTTTCTGGAGCAGGGAGGCACAAAGGGAAAGGATACCACCAGCTTTCCCTGTTCTCCAGTTACTGCAGCTGGCACTGGGGTTCTGTGCAGGTAAGGGGCCCCCACCAGTGAAGAACAGATGGGTAACACCACAGTTCAGCAACGTTTGCTCCTGTCCCACTCAACTGTTGTATGAAAGAAGTGTTCAAGGCCAGGCTGGATGGGGCTCTGAGCAACCTGGTCCCGTGGAAGGTGTCCCTGCCCGTGGCAGGGGGTGGAACAAGATGGTCTTTAAGGCCCCTTCCAAGCCAAACCATTCTGTGATTCTAAGACACAACAGAAAAAGGATCTGCAGCTGCTAATATTGCATTTATATAAATGCCTGTTGGGACCATTTTTCCTACAATCAATAAGAAATTGAAAGTTGGAGGAGAGAAACCAAATTCTTACAAAATTTCAAGGGATGGGTTTCTTCCTGTGCCAGGTTCTATTTCTGCCTTGGATAAATCTGAGTGTCTGAAGCAGGTTTTATCCAAGTAATACTCCAGCCACCACAAACACTGGAACTAAAATATTCTCTTAAACTATGTGAAAATTCTAGTTACAATTCAATTATGTTTAGTCATTAATTTTACAAACACCGTATGCTGAAAAGTTAATAAAATGAAAATAAACCAAATACTTCTTTCAGGCAGGGTGAAATAAATTACATACTGCCTCCAAAATAGCAGCCATTCAAAGCCCAGAAAAAATTAATAGGACAGCAAATCTCAGCCCTGTGAACTACGAGTCCAGCAGTTTGGGATACCACAAACAGCATCTTTGCAACCTTTCACATTTACTATGTTTAGCTGAGGTGCTTCAGCTGACAATAACTGTGGAAAAAGCTGCAGTACAGAAGAGATCATTCAGGTTGGTATGACCCAGGACTTTGAGGCAGCACAGGATACAGTCAAACTCCTCCAGGAGGACAGAAGACACTGCAGAGTCCACATTCATGCTGTTGACAAGACTTCAGGGACTCAAAAATACCTTTCTGTGTTTTGTGCCAATTTCATCCCAATTTCAAATTAAAAAAAGATCAGTTAATGTATTTTAGCTATCATACATCAGTATTAGAAAATACTTTCTACCTCATTTTAAATTTAGCAATACTTCTAATCCTAAGAGCTCACCCCTCCTGTTAGCTACTGATTCAAGCACTGTTTAATGAATTGCTACCAACAAAGCATGTTCATTAACCAGAATATTTGTACCCCTGTCTTAATTAAGCCGTAATCTCTGCAATTCACAATTAGTAGACAACAGAAATACCACAAAAGATACTCCCATATATGACTGGTAGCCTATAAAACCTTGTTTTTTTCAGAGGAGCAGAGATTTTAAAAAAATGTTTAAATGACACTGAATTCAGAAGGCCTTAAGCACATACTTAAATTGGGGTTTTGTTTACTTTGGTTGTTTGTTACTTTTAATCAAGCCATTAGGGCCCAATAATGTACTCATTAACTCATTTCACTAACTTCAGCTCAAGCTGGAAGGCATCACAAGTTAAATGGAAACTTGCACCCTAAGTAGCCTATTTTTTAAAACCTTTGTATCACTATGAATTGCATTGTTAATATTGGTTCCAAATGACAGAAATATGTATAATAATATATATATAAAACACTTGAAAATGCACCAAGTACAAACAGAACTAAAATTTCCATTAAAGGCCCACTTGTAGTGCTGTAATTACATATAATTTATTATTTCTGTTTCATTTCACCGCGTGGAACCTTTTGAAGGCTCACTAGAAGATCAGTATTTAGCCCCGGGAGGTTTGCACAGCAAAGCTGAACTTCCCCACCACAGGACAGCACCTGAGAAAAATAAAAGTGTGAGGACCTCGAGTGGTGGCAAACGGGCATTACTGGTGCTTAAAACACCCTCTCAGACCAGCCTGGTCCAAGTCTGCCTTCCCAGTAAGAGCAGGTTTGCACTGGGCTTTGTACTTTCTAATAGCTTTAGTCTAGATTAATAGGCTGAACATCTGCTCTGGTCTGAACCCCCATTAGTGAATGGAAACGTGAAATGCACTGTTGGAACACACCTGCAGTTAAATTTTATCCAGAAGATAATCCAGTTTATTCCCCTGCCATCCCACAGTGCAACAGCACAACACCAATGGAACAAGCTTTCAAGCAGTTCCCTTATATTCAAGGAGCAAAAAGTAATAATGAAGGTGCTCAACAAATCCACACACATAAGCAAAAATATAAAATATAGCAGTACCTAGGAAGACTTTTTAAACCGTATCTTACATTTTTACACATGACATCTGATGGAGCAGATATTCCCTATAGGTTTCTCGTGGCTATTTGTAACAGTACAGGAGAGAAGAAGGGCAGGCAGCTCATTAGAAGAGATGAGCTGACAGGATGTTCAGGAGAAGAAGGGAACAGTTAAGTTACTTGGGTTTGAATCCTGGCTATAAGTGACATGAGACTTACATGCAGTTGGAAATTTCCTTTAAGAGACACAAGAAGGCTGAATTTTGTAAGAAACTGTGATTTCTTCTCTCATAATTACAGATATATTTGGAAACAGAAACAAGACATTCCTCACAAAACCCTTACCATCACTTTTTTTTTTCCTGGTAAATGTCAGGTTGCATTGTCAAGCGTGTCTGTTTTTTCATGCTTAAGACTTTGGCTGCCATACAAAATAGTTAATGTTAGGACTGTAAATTAGGGACACTGTTGCCTAAGAACAGCAAAATCACAACACCAGAAAGGTACTACATCATTATCCATCCTCACTGATCCAGGCTGTCTTAGGGTTCCTACCTCAATTCAACAGCAGAGGAGTATTACTGCTCTAAAAACTGAAGGATTAATACTCTCTACTTCTAATCAAAAGGTTTGTAGCAACAAAAGAACCACTTTGTGTTGAAATCAGTGTGAAAGTATAGTCTATATGAGCATCAAGACACAAAGAAGTGTTGCCTTCTCCTTTCCACAAGAAAAAAGTTAAAAAAATTTGAAAATAATTATAATTTTAAGAAACTTCAACATACTTGCTTGACTGCTTGTAGCTGCTCTGTTAACTGTTTCTGTGCATTCACAGATTCAGACAATTCTTCCTGTTTAGAAAAAAAAAAAGGAGAAGAAAGAATTAATAATTCAGACTAGAAGAGTTTTTAGTCCTAAAACTCAATTAGCTCCTTCAAAACTACAGGTAGCAATTCTTAACTTTTATCCATGTACTTTCTGCCTTCTGTACAACTACTATGTCTGTTAACAATGCTGTATAATCAGAAACACATGTATTTAAAAAGTTCTGGTGGCAATAATAAGTAATGAACAACTTTTATAAAACCTTTGACAACCCCAAATTCCCATCTCTCAAAGCCAGCTTTTCAGTGAGTTCAGTGAGACTGGTGAGGTTACTTGAGCATTTGAGGATTATTCACTGAACATTTCTGGGATATGCGGAAAAGAGTATAAAAAATGAGACTATTTCAGATTAATCATTGTCAGTTTTCAACATCAGCAATTTAGGGACTCGTGATAAGTATTCACTGTTTCAACACTCAATGGAAATTGGGTTCTTTCATTTCAGTACAAAGCTTTCAGAAGAAGAAGCCTCGTGCACAGAACAAAGCACAGACCTTTGGCCATATCAACCCAATGTTTTCGTAATTTATAGCAAGAAAGAATTTTTTTTTTGGACCAGGAGGGAATTTGTATAATTGTCTATATCCTCAGACCAATTTTCCTGTCCAAGAACAAAAGCTACATATGCTGAATACAGAAATTTTTACCTTTTGGTATGTTAAAAAAGCAATTCAGGACCATGGGGGTGTGATTGTAACCCAGGGTATTAAGAAACAATAAATATATTCGTTGCTTTAGGTTTTAGAAATTTTGTAAAGTCTGTGAAAATATGTATTACTTTGGAACATGATTAATTTGTCCCCCAGTTCTGATTTCTTTCAAAAGTATCACTACATGCTCAGACTCTGCAGTCACTAAGATCACATTTTTATCTCTAAATAAAATTGCCTGGCAAATCAGTCACTTCTCCAAATTCACTTTTGCAAAATATCTGCTTAGTTTCATTTCTCTGTGGATCAGAGTAAAAAAATGTGTTAGGATTCAGTATAACAAATAAAATTTACTGTCTCCAGAAATATATTATAAGCAATCTTCAAATGTATTAGGACTGTTTGCTCTGCCTTTGTACTTAATCATGACAAATTCCACATAAAATTCAAAATAAGAACAGTAAATTACTACATACACTCCAAAAAATGATTAGTCTCTTGAATAATTTAGAGCAAATAAAAATGGTTACCTTTAATTTACTAATTTCTTTTAAAGCTTCATTTCTTTCTTTCTTAAGTCTTTCCACGTCATCCTCCAAAGAATTACAGGTTACAAACTATTTAAATACATAAGGTTAGAATGTATTGCTAACTGTGTCTTCCATAATCTTTAACATCTTATATTAAGAGGTCTTGTTAATAAAATTAGAGGAAAATCTTAACTTTAAAACAATTTAAAGCTCTGAAAATGCTAAAAATGTTTAAGAAAATTTTGACCAACTTATCTTCCCAAGGAATAATTATTTTTCCTGTTAAAGTGGATTAATAAAAGTACTTTTTAAAGTATCGAGAAAACATCATTAATAGCCCGTTTTTTGCATTATTTTAAATATGTCCTTTTATTTTAGTATTCATATGCTAAAAATGATCTTTTTTACACTCAGCTCTAGAATAAAATGATTTTCACAGTAGCAGGAGCTCAAATCACTTGGCCCAGTAATTGTTTATCATTCACACAGGTTGTAGCATTTCCATTAAGAAACCTCAGAAATTCCCTGTTGTCCAGACTTATAACAAACCACAACATAATTATATTAATTGCTCTCTGCAAATCAGGCTGCTTAATAAAGCTTCACAGAAACTGGGTTACCTTAAAGAACCCTGGGATATGGAGCTGTTTTAAACATCTGCCCAAAATTTGGAATAATTTCACATATAATACACTCTCCAATAATCTCCTCCCAACAATTAAAACACTGTTCAAGCACATATTTTTACCTGTGGATCCTGTAAGCTGGAAACTTCACTGCCCCCAAATGTGACAGATTTGTGGCCATCATCTGCTGTATTTGAGAACAGATTCCTTGAAACTTCAATGAAATCTAAAAAACAGTTCACATTTTGTTGCTGCAGCCCCTAAGTTCACTTCAGCAGCAGTGTCACTAAATGCAACACAACTCCAAATATCACAACGAACAGGCAGTCTTTCATAAATGCAGCTTAAGCTTTCTAAAGGAAAATATGAAAATCAGACACATCCCTCTGAAGAGAAACTTTTGGTAAAGCTGGTAAAGAATAAAAATGTGCAAAACACATCTTGGGAAGAAATATCCTCAAAATCAAGTCGTGAAGGACAAAAGAAAACAAAGGTGGTGTGAAAGTTCAGCTTCCAAGTACCTGTTTAGGGATGCTTTAATTTGGCAGGTCTCTGTGACAAATGAAAAGAAATCTGCACACCAGGTCTACACCTGCCCTTCCCAATAATTAATTATGTTTGAGGAGACACATTATCTCTGCAGGAAAAGGGAAAAAATTTCATGCTGGCTCAGAGCTCGTGGTTTCCTCTGCAGGTCCTTTAAACCCCTGACAGAGACCCGGGAAAACTGATGTTGGCTAAACTGAAAGTTCTAAATACAAACACTGCATCACTCACAAGCAACGTGGCTTGGGTGACCATTCATTATGAATGTATTAAAAAAAAAAATCTGCCACGATATGGCAGAAAAGTGGAAATATAAAGGTCAGTTAGTTTACTCCACATAAAATCTGATGGAAGATCCGGTATCTTTCATGATGAGATACTTGAAAATCCAGTGTCTTTTTGGATGGTTAAGTATAAAATATTACTTTTCACACACTAGTTTTTGATGCTGTTCTTCATAAACTTCAGGAAAAATGAAGTTTCCATCAGTTTTAGCATCAGAACTTTCATGTCTCACAGCTTTTGAAAAATATTGTTAAATTGTCAGTGTCACCAACCAAAATTGTCATAACCAACAGAAGCAACTCATTCCCATCAGAATTAGGTTTAGCCAGAAGAATTGTGATGGTCTCCATGCAAATCTCTTTCTATATGCAATAGTTGAAATGTTCTTGCTTCTCACAAACTGAAGTTAAAAAATCCATCAGTTTAGTCCCTTCAAGAAGTCTCTTTAACCATCGATACTTTCCCAAGTAATTTTTGGAACAATTACAGCTCCCTATCGTCAAGGTAAAAAATTTAGGCATTTGTGAGCACAAAATAAAGCTTTCCCAAGGCTGCTCTTAATTAGATAAATTTGTGATTTGCTTTCCCAATACTTAGTTTCAGAATTTCAAGTGCATTTTTATACAGTAGAATAAGGTTCTTGCCTCAAACTATCATTTTATTTGCAGCAGCAACCCAATAGTGACAGAAAATATATTAAATGGTTATTATCTATCATTTCTGTACTCCTACTTTTCATTCTTTTCCATAGTAATTAACAAATTATTACCTCCAAAAGACACTGTTCCTTTAGAATCTTTCTGAAGTTGCTGCCTGAGGGCTAGCTGCTGTTCATCTGTGAGCTGAATCCCAAGATAATTCAATGCCTGAAAGGAAAAAACTTATTTTGGAGTAAAAAAAGAAAGGACTAGGGATAATGACTGCAGGGACATGGGGGAGTAATTAAAGAGCTATACTTCAAAGAGCCTTTGTATCCTGGTACACTCTCACTGACAACACTTTTATTCCAGAGCCACTCTGTGACTTTTCCTTCTAATTGAGAGATGTACAGATATTATTTAACCTTGAATATGGATGAGTGTAATAAGCAAAACCCTTTGTCCTTAATAACTGCCTTAAAAATCCTGAGGGATGTTCGGATTCCCAGAAGAGTTAATCAGTAATTAGATTAACAAAAACAGTAATTTGCCCAATATATAAAATGAAGTATTGCCCTGCAACACGAAAGAACTACTCGAATGGAAAATTTTGTGTGTAATTTATACCTTTAAAGTTTGTCAGCCTAGGAATATTGTCCAGATGTTTTACCTGCATCAGGAAGGGGGAGGAAGGAAAACTCCAAAGATTTTAAGTATTTACCCTCTCCAGTTTTTCTGTTTTGAGACGAATAGACGAGTTCCTTCCTCGAGGCTCATAATCATCATTCTGGCTGGGGGCAACAGCTAAGAGGAAAAAAATTAATTAATAATTATCTAGTTGTAACTATTACTTTGAAAAATTTGTTCTAAAGGTCTGCTTGTCAAGTGGGTGCCAGCTAAATACCCACTTGCTAAAAAGACATGTTAACACTTAGACTGACTTTTTTTTTTTAAAGGACGCAGTTGTAATAAACAAAAATTATGGGTATCAATCACCTACACTATTTTTTTTTGTATAAAGAAGTGACAAGTAGCAAATTAGCAGAAAGGAACCAGGAATAACTGAGTGATCCATCAAGCATATGGCTTATACTGGTGGTGTTTTCTCTTCTCTCAGAGATACACAGATACCCAGGGAACAGAAGGGGAAACACAGTTGTGAATTCCAAGAGAGACCTCCAAGACACACCCTCATCACAACTGACAGCTCCCAAAAACATATGGAGTGATCCAGAAAACACTGGGGAAAGAGAGGGGATGACCTGTTGCCAACTAAGTGCTGTGTGGAGGGAGCTTAGACTGAATTTCCCAGGCTCCTTAGGAACTCTTTTCCAAGAACTCTCACCCATCAGCCCCTTCCCCAAGTTCCCATGTTTTTAGCCAGTTGCATTAATAACCTGTGGTGCACCTACTGCATTTCCAACACACAAACCATGAGGCTGAGGAAGGGAGAAGAAGGCAGCAGAACCAAGCAGCCCCTATGCAAGATTTCACAATAATTGCCTTTTATTTTTTTTATTTTTTGTGTGTGCATGCTGAGCTTTGATGGAACTTGAGAAACACAGTCACAGCTTTGTCATGTTTCAGACACACCTGTGGGTACAACACAACCACCTTTGGCAGCCTTTTGCTCACAGACAGCAGGCAGAAGGAGCAGTGAACTGCCTATTGCTTTGGATTTTAGATCTGGGCACGTAGAAAAAATTCATGGTTTGCATTCATTAGTTATAAATCTAATTTAGATCTTAATTCACCGTTTCATTAATGGATTAGAGAGGTACCAAAACCAAACCCAGCATTTAAAAAGCGAAGGATTTTGCAGTTTGAGATTCTCTCTAAAGGAACAGAAGGAAGCGCAGAGAACTCTATTTTTTTTTTAAATTTTTTTTAGTTTCACAGCATATCAGTTTCCAAGCTCCAAGTAATTTACATTCTCTCTATATGCCAAAAGCATAAACCAAAACATCTTGAAAATCTCTGACACTAACACCTCTCACATGCTATATTAAATTCTGAAGACAGTGGGCTAAACCTCGGTGGAATTGGCACACTTCCTTTGAGCTCAGAATGAAAAAGCCTCTCGTATGGGTTTGTGCAAAAAACTTCTCAAAACTATGCTGATTTTTTCATAAAGCATAAAAAAAAAAATCCTCTAAGAGATACTTTAATTTTTTCAAGGTTATCTTTGAAAGGTTATCCTCGATAAAGGGCAGCATGAAAGAAGTGGCAGGTTTGACAAAGGATGTGCTATTAAATAGGAAGAAAATGAAACATAAGAAACAGCACAAACTGGAGCTGCAAGTGTTTGTCCTTTCCACTCCACTACCCACTTATTCAGATGTGTTAAGAAACTGTGGCCTTCTTGGTCTCTTTAAACAATAAAGCTCCTGGGTATTGCATTATATTAACCAAGAGTCTCATATTCTGAATATATTAAAAACCAGCCTTTTGTTTTGTTCCTTTCATTTAGTTGAGGTGTTTTTCATGGTCAATATGAAAATCTGTGTGATCATTAATCTCCAGGTATATGCAATACTACAGTCTTTCCAGTTCCAGAAGTTCACATTCATTCAGTTCACCCTTCAAGGAAGGGAGACAACCAGTCAGATTTGCATTATAGGAACTGTTTCATTTTAAATTTGAATATCTAATACGGGCTATAATAAATGCAGGTATAATTTAAGTAACACCAGTGGAGAAACATCTGGAATGAATCAGATCCTGTATGTTTGTTCTTCCTCTTCTCAGTAAATTAGACACCAAGTTGAGGAGCTCAGGTTATGCTTAATTGCTACTACCTGAAGAAAAAGGATATAGTTCAGGTCTTCACACAGAAATACAGAACAGAGTCAGTTCTGTCACTGTGCCAATGGGGACTCTTCATTATTGGGTCAGACTCCTGCATTTTCACTGTTTCTAAACACAACACATATTTGTTTCCCAAAGGAATTACAACCGCTCAGCTCAAATTCTGACCAAATTCTGCAAACTCTGTTTTTCCTTAAGTGTTGTTTTCAAAGTAGATATTTAGAGAGATGATCAAAGTGACTCTTGTCTTTGTTCAAATGCCATGGCTCTCAAACATAAATATTAACATATATATTCTATTTGTTATGAATTGAAAGGCTGTTAGAGGTCTGCATGTTATTTCTACCCCTCCAATATGCTGCCCTGATTTAAACAAAAAACCCCATGCAAGCAGCACACATCCACAGAATTTCATCAAATCAAGAAAGCACAGTTTCTATGGCAACCTAATCTTGATCTATATGTGAGTCTTCATTATCTGGTTTCTCCTGAGTCTATTATCATTACTGCTGTATAGCAAATGTTGTGATCACTCGTTTTTTGTTTGGTTTCAGCTGTTTGTTACAGACAATGTAAGTTATATTTGACAGAAGCTCCTAAAAATCCATTGATCTCAGTCCTTTATTTAGGACTATAAAAATATTCCTTTTTTTGAAGACTACTGAGTCTCACCATGTAGTGTGTGCTGCAAGACAGTTATCAAAGGAAAAAAAAAAGAGGGTGGCAGGGAATGAAGTCAGCACTTACCCGTGGCAGACACATCAGCAGGACTGTTGTCTGGAGGAGTTATTGGAGATTGCTCTCCCATCTTGACTCCAGTTTCCATCTACAAAAGAAAAGCAAAAGCCATGAAACACCACTCCTGAAGCAGATCACAAGCTAAACTAGAAATACACATTAATGCAAAGAGAGAGGGACAGGAAGGAAGACCTGGGGGAGAAAAAAGGGCTGGATAGATCAAAGCAACAATGGAAGGCACGGAGGGGGTGCTGGTGGTGAGAAGGGATGGCACTGGAAAAACTCAGATCAGGGCCTCTTCAAAACCCTGGGTTTTGAATATCTCCACAGATTAAGATAACACAGTCTCTCTAGGCAACCCGTTTCAATATTTATATCCCTAATAGGAAAGAAAAACGGGCAAGAATTTTAAGTACAAACATAAGAAGAATTGAGAATCACCTGCTTTGACTTTGTGTTTGACACAGAACATTTTATTCATTCTTGTTCGAAGGTAATACTTTATTTAGCTTTAAAAGTAAGATAAGCTGAAAAAGTTCCTTCAAAAATTAAAATAACAGTTTTAAAATCTTCTTTCTTATGGTCAACATTATTCCCTTTACAAATTTACTTCTTTAAGGTGAGCTGTATGAATTAAAACAATTGTTGATGAGCTCAAAGGGGAAAAAGGCCACATTCTTCTAGGACTTTTTAAAGCAAAAATCCCATCATCACAGAGCAAGTGTAACTTCTGAGATTGTGCTGTTCACATATATGTAGTAAACAGAGAGTATTTTATCTCTGAAATAAATAACTATAGATATCACATTCCAAAACTTTACTACCTAGGGAAACATTAGGGAGAACTTTGTATCTAAGAACACAGTTAATGCTTATTTTATTTAATTTGTTGTCTTACCCCAAGTCAACTAACAGTCTTATTCCTCTCATCAGTGTGGTTTAACCTCCTGTTACACAACATGGTTTTTGCAAATCTTTTGATATTCCAAAGACTTAACATTGTGCAGGAAAATAGCCATTTTCTTACTAAAATGGAAACTCAATTAAAATTAGGAGAAAACAACCATTTGCTCACTTTATTCTAAGTGGAGTAATAAGTGTACTCACAGCATCTGGAGTGAATGTTGAAACCAGCTTCCCATTAGGGGATGGCAGAGCCTGTTGCTCTCCATAAGCTACAGAAGATGTTAAGAGGCTGAAAGGACGCTGCAGATTCTCTGGATAACTGGGAATATTTTTTTGCCTAATAAAAGCTATCTCCCAGAAGTTGTCCAACCTAAAATTAAAGAAGTTTCAACATATTATATGCTATGTTGTTTGTAAGATTATATGTTGCTTCTGCAAAAAATTACATGTTTCCAAACACTGTGTGATTTTATTAATTTTTTTTCTAAAAGGGTGCTCTATTCCCCATCATTAAAAAGGCTGTGGGTTTGGGTTCTCCTTTGATTTTTTATTTTTGAAAGCACTCAAGTATCATATTTTTTCAGGTCTAAAAGGTGCATCTGAGTCTTTTCTATGAAATAATATTGCAATTGAATATTAAAAAAATTAAAATGCCTGCATTTCCTCTAAAGTCAAGTCATTAATCTGATCATAAACATCATATAATAAACTATTTTGGAGGGTTAGCTGCTTGACAGTAGCAGATACCTCATCTTTGTTCTGTTGATTATACTTTTTGCCTCTTCATAGGAGACACCAATCATGGACTCCTTGTTGATGGACACAAGTTGATCTCCAGGCTTCAGTCGTCCATCCTAAGACAACAAATAAAAAACCAAACCCATTGTTTTTATAAGAACTAACTAACACTACAGAAAGAACTGTATAATCACAGCACTTTCACATATTCCTCTGGATCTGCTGAGACAAGAAACACCGAGAGCAGCTGTGCATTCTGCCTGACAAGCTTCCAGGAATAAACAGATTAAATCATCATTAATCACCATCACAGCAGTCATTATAAAAACTTCATTAGACAGAACACACCACAGATATTGTCTAAAGAAGAAATTTGGACCCACATACATATTCTGTTAAAAAAAACTCATCCAAAGGAAGCCCAGATTTTTCCAGCACGGAGCACCAACCCATCTGACTTTAGGAAGCTTCTTTACTAATTAATTCAGCTGCGAGCTGGGTTCATTTGTATTTCAGACCCAAATGTTCACAGCAATACATGGGACTCATCAGGCACTCACTGGCCATGTTAAGTTAATGAGAAAACTAGATTAGTCTATTAGGAATTCACCAGGCAACACCATGACAGAAATAACACTGTCAACTTTGTGCTTCTGTTAAATTAATTGCAAATTCTCTACCACATTTCTGTCTGAGAGACTATAAGACAAGACTTTAAACATGCTAGGCTACACTTCTCAATAAAAAAAAGCTTTCTCTACTCACATTTTAAAAGAGGCCTCAACAATTTAGCTGGAATTTCATGTAATTCACCTACAGTTACAGAGTTTGTTATGACATTTATCTAATGTAATAAACATCGAATCACACATCTCAGTTCTTCAGCTCTTAAGAAATTAATCACCAAGTGAAACAAACTGTGTACAGACGATACACAGGAAACAAGAAAAATACCTTTTCAAGACCAGTACAATTATACCTATTTAATATCCACATACCATAATATTAGCTGTGTCATTTCAAACCTATAATAGCATTTTATTACTTTTTTTTTTGTCACTTAATGTTTTGGTTTTGATTAAAGAAAAAAGCTGTAGATCTTTTATTTTGCTTTCATCCAGCCTATTAAAGAATATCCATTTCAATGGTGCCCTCACGTGGCAGAGGTTCAGAACATGTTTTCTGCTTCAGCTTCCCAAAGGGGATAACCAAGACTGGGAAATTACCTCTATCAGTGCTAACATTGGAACCTACTGAAAATTTATGTCTCAGCCTCAGCCTATTGATTATGTGTGACAGGCTTTCAATTATATGTTTGCAATGAGAAAAATGTTTTAGAAGCCACAACAAAATAGGAGAAACACAAGAAGAATGATTATCATCTATCTACTGAAAGAGGTCTTTGAGAAACACTGAATGTTTTCCTTTACTTAATATTTTAGGACTAAACTTAGTCTACAAAAGTTCAGTAACAAATAGTTACAGACTGTTTGGGGACAAAACTCATTGTTTGTGAAATCAGCTTGTAGCCTTTTGCTTGGCCTGAGGCAAAAGCTGGTTATCTACACTTCAAAATAATCATAATAACTCAGGATGCCAAAGGAGATTCTTGGATAAACAGTCCTGTTTACTTGTACCAGACAGTTGCAGTATTTATTTACTTTTTAAACTGACAAGTCCTCCTGATTTACATACTGCATTTGTCATAAATGAAAACAGTAATCAGAACTGATTCATACATTTTATTAACCTGCACTTTCAGAATATTTTTTTTTAATTTGCCTACACAATGATTTCCAACTGCAAGGATTCATCTAAATAAAGCCTCAGGGAAACATGACTTTTTGAATGTCCAGGAAAAGAACCAAAGAGATGACATCTGTAGCTGTGTCCCATCCTTCCTATTTACCTTACACCATGCAACCTCTTACAGAAGCTGATTTTGTACCTTCTCATACATAAACTGGGGAATGAAGATCCTCATTTACCTCAAATAGACTTTTGAATAATTTTCATTACAATGTAACCCTGCTGCAGTGCAGTGAGAGAAGTCTGTTTAAAAAGAAGGCAAGGAGAAACACAAACATATTTTGTATTTAAAATATGGCTGTATATATAACATACTGAAGCAGGTACTAAATGAAGGCAAAAATACAGGTGTCTGAAGGGAAAAAAGGTCTTTACCTTATGACAATCACCACCAGGGATAATTTCTTGAATATATACCAAAGGTCCTTCATTTCTGTTAATTCCTCCCACAATATTCAAACCTAGACTTGTTCCTTTGCAAACAGAGATAATCTGAAATGCACTATCCCTACAAAGAGAAAGAAAGGTAGAATTACTTCACAGAACCAGATACTCAATGAAGATTGAAACAACATATTATCTTTATGTATTTGCAAAATCAATAAGATATTACAGCAACAATCTCAATGTTCAAATATTACACTGCCAAATTACCACAAAATCAGCGACTCCAGGTGTTACTTCTGACAATTACAAAAGGAATTGATACATTATATTACAAGGTTAAAAACTTGTGTCTATTAAATATATATATATCTCCAAAGCTTATGAGAGTACCTGGACATAAACCAGAAGCATTAATTCTTTAGGACACAGATCAAAAGTCAACTTCTACCATGTAAATGACAAATAAATAGGAAAATAACTTATTAAATCTGAAAGTCTGCAATATCTACAGTATTATAAATTACAGGATTAAAAATTAAAAAATAAACCAAAAGTTTAACACTTAGTGCTCAACTCAAATTCTCCTGACCAGCCAAACACAGTATTTCCTGCAGCTCACACAAGACAGTGACAGTCAGTTTTGGAAATTACTTTGCAGGCTTTGGGGATGGTGCTGGGACAGAATTATTTCTGCTGCTGGTAGTGGTGTTTTCCTTCAGATGCAACTGAGGACTCTGTGACCTTGAGGATGACCCGGAGGAAAGGCTCTCTGTAGATTTTGCTTCAAGAAAAGAAATGTTGAAAAAAAAAGAAATAAAATACACATTGGGGAAAAAGCACAAAATTTCAGCTCATGTAAGTTCAGTAGGATTATTTTCATGCTGGCAAACAGAGAAATAAAGCAATCAGACAATCAAAAGGAAGCTTAAGTCTACACAGTAAGAAGTGCAAGTCACCCAGGGTCCCAGGAATAATACTTTAAAACATAGCAAGTGACAGTTTTTTCCAATCTAGGTGCAAAAAGCAAAATCTCAACTGACTTTCCTAAAGAATAATCCTCTGTGCTATATAAAGCATCTTAATTAGGCAGCAATTCCACAAAGATTAGAATTTATGGTACTCTAGCTCAAATTTTGTGCTTTGAAATCTTGCAGCACATTTCAGCTACAAATACCAAATACTTTTCACATCATTCATTAATTAAAATTGCTGAAAGTAGATGGTAATATATTTAAAAGTTGAGGACACTGACACACAAAGCCCTCAAGGTATATTTTTAGACTATAAATGTCACAGTCTAAGTGACCATGTGTTTTGCCTGACTTTCAGTCACTTCCTCCAAGAGATCTCCCCCCAGATTAAGAGTTTTAAGTGCAAGTTTCTACTCCACCCAAGGCTGGCTGTCCCACAGGATTATGTCAGGCTTGGAAGTGATCTCTCACCAGCTAACAGATGTGTTGGAGAACTTCTTGCAGAGTTGTTGTCACTGTGAGAGCCATACTTATCCATCAGGTCATGGAATTCTTTCCTGTGGCAATAAAAAGATCCTCTTTGTCAGGATTTGGCACTAGTGAGACCTGCACTGTACTGAAGTTTCTCTTCCTCAGAAGAGGAGGCTCAACCTCAACTGAAAGAGGAAAGCCCTGTCAAATGTCCAGAAAAGGCAAGGAAAAGATCATGTAATACAGGGTAAAGATGAAAAAGCAACAGACTGTGAATGAAATGGACTATTGCTGAAAAAGCTTAATTATTATCTCTCTTTACCCTGGATCGCATAACTTTAAAAACTTGTAATCCAAATCAATTAGAAATGATAAAACAGTGGTATTACCTAGATCCAGAAAAAGTTATTCATATTAGAAGGCATCAGATTACAGCATACTCATGTTTTTTAAAGAATGCTTTTAGTTCAATTACACTGAACAAGAACCCAGAAGAGACTGGCAAACAAAGATGTGGCACCTCAAAAAAAAAAGAGGATAGAAGAAATATTTATTAATTACTCAATAATGAGCAAAACAGAAGCAAATTCCAACTTGTACTTAGTTTTCTCAGAAATTTTCAGTCCATTTCATCATCTTTGTATATTAAATATTAAATATGTCTCTCCTTAGGCTTTATCTTTTTGATTATGAAATCTCTCTCGTTGAAATAAAGAGCAATTCTTGGTCAGGTGCACTGTTGAAATAATGGAAATAGTTGAAAATACTACTACAAACCAAAAGCAGAAGTTGTTTGTTATCCATCATATTGTAACAAACTGGCAAAGATGTAAATTTTGGATCACGTGCACTGAAAACAAATATGCTTGATTCACCTAACATTGAATCCAGCCTAATTAAAAATAAAAAGTTTATAATCAGAGCTATGATTATCTCGGCGATACCCGATTTTAAAAATGTAAGTAATCTAGAATGATGTAAGCCAGAAACATTGGCAAATTAATACTGTAGAATTAAACACAGAGAAAACAAATTAACTGATTGCAGGGAGACTAATTCCCAGGTAATTCCAGTGACTGCAGTTGAAAGCTGCTGGATGCATTTTTTTTTTTTTTTAAATGTCAAAATTTACTGTACTAATGCCAGAGCCAGGGAACACACAGTTGAGTGTAAATCAAATAATCTTTTGGCACAGGAATGTAAATCCCCAAGAAATGAATTAACAGGTGTGTGGGTGAGGGACTGAATGGAGTGGCAAATTTGGCTCAGGCCACTGCTCCTATCCCCAGAGTGGTTAAAGGACTGATGGATTTTAATTATTCAAGGAATTTAGAGGAACTAAGCCAGTATGCTTTAGATAAAAGCAGATTAAGAGTGGACCTCATATATCTGGGCAGTCTGAAAAAAAAAGAGAGATCAGAGGCTACAGAGTGATTTAAATGTCTGTCAAATACACAAAATAAAGGAAACAGAAAGAAGGAAGCTTAACTCGGACAAAAGGCTAAAGGAATTTAGAGAAAAATCCTTTATGCAGAGATTACTCTGTAAGTGGAACATCCCAGGAAAGGCAAATAACAGCAGCTACTCTTGCAATGATTATCAAAAATAGTTACATAACAGCTCATTTCTCTGGAGATTGAAGTCACAAGGGGATACAGACCTGGATCCAGCGCTTCCGATGATGCTCTGCCAATATAGGTTTATATGCTTAACTTCCAACAGTAAGGTTAAAGCAATATTTAACATAAATGCCCTTATAATGGATGTATTTTGGACTACCTGCTGCACTGAACCGTTTAACCTGCTTATCCAAGCCATTCAAAGCTCATTAGAGATTGAAAAGCAAATTTCTGAGGGGAAACAACAACTAAACCTGCCTTTTTTCAGAAGGCCAGACCAGTTTGAACCATATTGTTTTGTGGTACTGCAGCTCTAATGTAGATTCTTAATTTTTTATTATTTTAAAATGTGAGAAGTATTAAAAAAACCTATCACAGCACATAATTTTAAATGGTATTAGCTGGGAACATAACATTAAAATCCTCCTCTTTAAACCCAAATTGGCCTGAGCTTGCTACTTGAATTGATGCAAGTGATCTCAGAATGAACTGCTATCAAATACCACACAGAAAAACGTGATATGTGGTGTAATCCTGCAATTAAATCTAACCTGAAAGAGAAATACATGCAAGCCCATCCCCCCCAACCCAAGATATAGCACTGGAGTTTTATTAGTTTTGAGGTTAAAACAAATTTTTCTCTTACTTTGCTTCTTCATCTCTTGCAACGAGCAGAGACATGTGATTAGATGCTGATGCTGTTCTCAGGATGTCAACAGCCCTACAAGGGGGAAAACAGCCAAATAAATACACCAGGGGGCTGTCAAGAAGTACAGAGCAATGCTAAAAGAGCAGGAAAATGGACAAATTCCTATCAGAGTTAATGATTTTCACTGCCAGATATAGAGAAAGGAGCTTTCCAGCAGCGTAACTTCAACTAAGCATTGGGGAATGGAGCAAGAGAGACTGTGGTGCCTCTGTGCTGCTGACAGCAACAAGCTGGGACTGACCCCTCCTTCCCTTCCCTTTAGTTCCCATCTCTCCTTGGCCCATCCTACTGCCTTCCTGGACCTCCTTCAGGCTTAACAGCCCACACCAGACAAAAACCACTGCTCAGGTGTGGTGCCTTGCTCATGATTTCCCTCAGCAATATAAACAGGATTTTCTGTTTGAATTTCTAGCCTCTGTCCCCAGCACTAAGCTGCACTGATCTCTAGTGATCCAGCTACAGGAACCACCTCCAGATTTTTCTAAACCATTTCCTCTTCATTGTCCCATTACCTGTTCACTGAATCATTTACATTCACCAGTATTGAACCAACAGGTAGTTATCAAAGTATTTTAACAGCTTAATATGTTCTAATGCTATTTTCACACACATTCTGTAATCTATGGCATTAAGAAACCAGTTTATTCTGGTATTATAAAAACTTAAATGTCATTCACTTTTCCACAACAGTTTTGCTGAATTAGTTTTATAGGATAAATTAATTGCCAGCTGAACTCCAAAGACCTCAGGGGAGTTGAGTTCTTTCACTCAGTCATTGATAATTTCAAAATAATCTGCATATGATATTCCAAGCTCTAATAAACATTCACTAATCAAATTTACCTTTCATTTGTTACTCCAATCAAGTTTTCTCCATTGACATCCAAAATGAGGTCACCAGTGAGCAAACGGCCTTGTAATGAAATCAACAGTAACTCATGAATCAACAGGAAAATAGTGAACATGGTATTCAAACAGGACTTTCCCTTTCAGTTTTATGTGATTTAATGCAATAAACAATTTTGTGACTGTCATGACTTTCTGATCCTAATTAAGATGGGTTATTGTGATAAGATGAATAACTGTCAATCAGTCTTATTAACCACAGAAAATAGGGGTTATTTTAGCTATTTGTATTATTTACACACAGCACTAATATTTGTGGGACTGGAATTTGTATTTCACAGTTGTGGAAATTAACTCCGAGTTGAAATTTCTTTTGACAGATTTTTTTTTTTAATATGTAGTGTGTTGGTAACAAATAAATTCAAAATTACTTACTATCTACAGCAGCAACCCCTCCAGGTAGAATTCTCTTTATAAAAATCCCATAATCTTCTGCTGTTTGTGCCCGATAACCTCCAATAATTTTAACTCCTGCAGGAAAAAATAAGAAACGAGCAAGAAATTGGTTATTCCATCTCCTGTGCTAAATGTATTAAGAGTCAAATCCACAAAAGCCAGATAAACTGTTGGTGATGACAGTGTGACCTGGAAAAGCTCACCAGGTGTTTTTAAAGCTTTGGTTTACTGTGAGGATGTGCAATCTTAGTTACCTAATCCATTCTGACAGTCGGAGAAGGAAATGCGGTGAACAGCTCGATTGATTCCATGAGGGCCCATAATAGTCCTAAGGAACAAAATAAAAGCCATTAAATTACAGAAATGTATGCAGAGCTATGCTGACATAGAAGAAATTACAGTGACCACGTTTTTAACTCCAGTACCAATGTTCTCCACTGACAGCTTCATATTGTTTGATCCCTCTGCCCACCCCTTCCCCAACCGAAAATCAACCTCCTCATCACAAATATCAGCTGACAAGGTACTACAAAGTGTACATAGTTTACTTCTTTTCCTCCCAGAGCATTTCAGGATGAACTATGAATTTAATTTCGTTTATAATAAAGGGATTATGATTAAATACAAACAAAACCCCACAACCTGGTCCAGCTTAGCATGTAGGCAAGAAAAACATACCATAACATCTTAGATCAGGTAATGAATGAATATTAAAATAAAACCACACCTAAGACAAAGCATACAAAAGCATTTTCTAACATATAATTTTGTTGTTATTTATGAACATAATATTTTCCCTACAGTCTCTTAATTTCTTCACTCAACATTGATTTCCTTTTCTGCTGTAAAAAAAGAGTTTCTTTCCAAACTCTTTTGCCTGGTCCCCTGTGTACCCTCCCACCCCAAGAGAAAATACCAGGATGGCACCTGAAATTGTCTAAAGGTAGAGGAATATTTTGGAGGCAGTTCATCATGCTAAAGAATTAAGGAAGAATAAAAGTAGAGGTTTGAAACTTAAATTTCCAGTCCCATGGGACACATGACCAGCACACGGCTCCGAGAACACAAAGTGTTAAGAAGTCCTGTAAGTCCAGGTGACCCTTTACCAGTTTTTATTTTTTATTTAGATGAATTATGATTTAAAAAATGCAAGTTGTATCATAGCTCCTTTGTCCTGCCACTGTACCATTTTTGGGGAAGACTCACCAGATCTCTTCTAGAAAAGAGCAGAAGCACCACTCAGGTTTTTCTGCTTTGACCTACCTATTGTTCTGTATCAGACAGACATACATATTGTTCTGTATTTTCTAGAGAGTGTTGTTAAAGTGACATGGAACAACCAGAATTCATTAGCAGGAGGCAAAAGAAGATCAAAGTGGAGGACACAGTGACCCAAATCCTCCCACACAACCTAATCCAGCACACAGCCTGAACTCCGTGCCTGAAACTGGGTATATCTGCAAAAGCCAGGGTACATGTCATGAACTGGGGCCATGCTAAATGGAAAAGAGAAATCCAGAAGGTCCAAATGTTCTTAAACTCTAGCACCAGGCAGGAGATCCAGCTTCTAAAGAACATCTGCAGTACTTTTAGTTTTGTAGAAGAAAACTGGATGAGTGTTCTTTATCAAGGGATAAGCACTAGCTCTGAAAAGCAAGTTTCCCAAACCCTCAATTTCCCAAGTATTTGCAAAATTAGCCTTTGCTTTAGGAAGGCTGGCTACAAGAATAGACCCCAAAATTCATGTTTAGAAACAAAAAGTAGGCCTATGCTTCAAACACTGTCTCATTTTCACTGGATAGTTCTTGAAGTAATTGTTTCATGGGCTAAAAAGAAATGATGAAACCCAGACAGGATATTTGGGCTGTATTTGACACAACTGCACATGACCTTGCAATGACATGGCAGAGCATAAGGCACCCTTTGTATGGCTAAAAGTGAACCAAACTGCTTTCATTTAGTAGTGTTACTACCCAGTACTGTCACTTTGATTATCCCATGAATTTAAATTGTTCTGAAGCTGAAATACAGCACCCTGGCCATGTTCTTTGCAGGTCTGTCCTGACCTGTATCCATCTTTGAAAACTTAAAAAGGCTACACTGATCTTTAAAATAGACAATTATTGTATTGTTTTTCTCTCTTGCCTTTTGCTACTTCTGCTCTGGTTCTTGCTCTGCCATGCCCTCAGCAGTTCTCACATGGCATTTTCTTAGTTAAAATAATAAAAAAAAAAGAACAAAAGTTACTTCAACCTCACACAAAGTCACACAGAGGTTTACTTTCATAAAGTCTTAAAAGATCAAATCTCAGACTTTAAAGTTCAGAGTTCACTAGAAATTGTAGGACCCGTTTATATACTACCATATAAAATGATCACGAAATATGATCAAATCTAAGCACAGGACACTTAATAGAAAAGGATTCACATTTCCAGAAGGAACAGGCAACACTCTCAAAAGATAGATCATAACTAACATAAAATGCATTCTGACAAAGAGGATACAGAGGATATACAAATTAACAATAAACAGTGGAGAGGGATAAGATAGCTCTGAAACAGTGGAATTGTCTTGATGCTGCCACCAACACTTAAAAAGAACTGTTGAACAGGTACCTTTAAAAGATACTCAGGTGTTTTTATGCTTTAGATATGAAATCCCTCCAACACACACAGTTTAAAATTACTTTATCATGCAAAAATAAAGACAAGGATCTTCAAATGCCCTGAATTGGTTTAGCATATCTAGCTGACTTTTGGTGTTAGTTTTTTTTCCCCAGAAAACTTAGAGATAGATCTTCAAGTCAAGCTGCTTGTCATAGTTTTAATAAAATAAACAGGGCTTTAACAGTTTCACTGTAAAAAGCCTTGGATTCAGCACCCATCCAACTTTAATTTCATGTTATCATTATTTAATATTCATGAAATGTCAGAATACTGCCCCCAGAGCATTAGAAATATGCTCAACGGTATAAATAGGGAAACAGGTTTCCAAACAACTTGGCAGGAACAGCAAAACATAATTCAGTGCTCTTTGTAGAGGACACGAATTAAAAAAATCAGATGTTGCTGCTCATTTCTCGAGGTCAGGCAAAAGTTCTTGTAAGCAAGGTTTTAGCACACAGAGCAGATGAGAGGCAACAGACAAAATAAACAAGCAAAACTCAACAAAATGTACACTATAACTGTCTTACACTAGAAAATGCTAAACTCAACACTCCAAGTGAAGTCCTGGAACACTAACAGACTAAGTGCATATCATTTTGTGTAGGTGCTCTAGTAAAGGCAATTAAAATGACTTTCCTTCTATTACTTTTTAGCAGAATACACAAGGAAATTCAACAGCTTTAGGTTTTGTATCTTCTAAGGACTTATCAGAATATACAGGATATTCTTCTGATCTCTGTTCCTGAGAAACTGTCATTTATGTGCACGAACAAAATATTTATCCAGGATAATACACTTTCCTCACAAAACAGATATTACTTGACACATAAGCAAAAACCCAAACAGTAAACTCTGGCAGCTTATGAAAAGAAGCTGGAAATGCCCACAGTTTTTAAATGATCTCTCCTGTTCTTTGCCCAATTGCAGACCAGAACAGTGCCCCCAGCATACCAGTACAAGAGAGAAAGCCCATCAAAGCGCTCTGGTTCATCTTCGGCCCCCGGTGAGAGTAAGGACATTCTTCAGGACGGCAGCAAAACCAAAGACAACGCAACCAAACCGCTCTGGAGGCTTCCAGTCCAGCTGGATAAAGGTTATGAGCTGGATGATTTCTGCTGCTCACTAAAAACCCAAACACAGAGCTCCAGCCAAGCGTCTCTGCCCACTTAATCTCCTCTGAAACCCTCTGCGTCACATGGACTAATTCACCTAGCGAGGTAATGTTTACTTTTTCTCTGCTTGAAATGGCAATTTACAGCAACTTTAAAGGCTGATAAATACCAAGGAGAAAATTTACTGCACTGTGACTAAGGAATCTGGATCTAGCAGCCAAAGGCAAGTGACGTGATTAAAATACATTTATTTTCTCCTGTTCTTCCAATAATTTATTTCTACGCTCCCTCCAAACAAGGTCAAAAGCAGTAACTCATGACCTTTCCAAAGCAATCTTCCTACCAGACTGGATTATGTACAGCCTCACAAAAGGGAAAGCCAACAAAGCAGACTGAAAGCACTAATGAAACAAATGCCATTATGCTATTACTTGGCATTCTCAATCATGCTGTTGACCTGTGCCACGCTTTAACCTGGTTTTTAGACTTCCAATATACAGCAGTCAAAAGTTAACACAGAATTTAGGTTACATATTTTCTCTAGGAAGGGAAGCTGATACATCTGTTTTTCTGTGAAAGGCAATAAAACTGGTGAATTTTATGTCATTACACTAAGAATAATCTGATTGAAAAAGTGAAAAATATAACCCTGTTCCCAGAGGTCAGACCCTGCTGACAGGAAGCTTGGCCTTGCAGAGATACACATATTTTCAGAAGTTCTGAGCACCTGACATCAGTTTGGTTAATGATCATTTCCTTCCAGTCTTGCATCAGAAGATGCATCCCTATTACTCCCCCTTTTTCTAAAATATTATAAGAAGACTGCAATTAAAAATGAAACCCAAATATCCTGCGTTCACTGAGGGCTTTAAGTAGAAAGGTGAATCCTCTGTAGCAAGGAGTGACCCTGTGAGCAGACAGCATCTGTCAGGTCTGGAGCTGTGCAGCAGGAGGGCTCTGCTATGCCAGGAATGCACTCGCTTATCTCAGGCACCTTTTTTTTTTTTTAAAGCTGCAGTGACTGTGGTTTCATTAGCACTTAATCGTTCTGGAGAAAGGATCCCTTTGCTTACAGACAATGTTCAAATAGAGCCAGGCCCCAGAGCCTGCAGAGCCACTAAAGGGGCAGAGGGGTAAAGTGACCCACCACAGATTAAGGAGCAGATCAGAGGTGGAAGTGGGAACACAAAGCAGCCTTCCCAGCTCCCAGACCATGAAAAGCTCCACTGGCATCCTTTGGATTGCTCACATCCATTCAGAGATAAAAATTTGGCCCTTTGTAATCTTTTCTCAATCAGTTCACTCTGTCGGTGTTACCGGCATTGCAGTCAGGTGAAAGAAAACCCACTGATATTTTAAGCCTTGTACCAATTAGCTTTGCTCCAGGCGAGGTTACAGAAAACACCAGTAGCTTTTCTCCAGCAAAACTGTCACCAGTGGAATTCAATTTGTGGTATCAATATCAGGAGCATTTGTCAAAGCAAATCTCTCAGACCAATCTGGCTTGATTCCAGTGTCACGTTTTCTGCAATGCAAATCTGTCCCCCAGTCACCAGCCTGGCTCAGGGCTCTGCATTTTCACTGTTAAAAAGCCAAAAGGTATTTTTATTAAACCAGAAATTACAAACTTCTGAACAATTAAGGCTGATATAAAGTAGTATTGAGCTTATTGCTCCCATTTTATTAGTTATTAGCAGTGATAGATCACTTGTTCAGACAATCCCTCCTTCAAAGTAAACTGTGCATTGTTCAGCTTCCTGAACTCATCCCTGATGCTTCTATCCCTCTTTACCTTCAAATTCTGCTGCTGTGCTGCTTTTAACATTTCTAAAGGATTCATACAGAACAACAGCATTATTGCTTCTCTTGTAAGTTCTCTGCCTTTCAAGAACATACCCAGGAGAACACAAATTACCTTTTATTTCCAGAATGATCTAGGAATACTGTAACAACTCAAAAGTCTATAACATTTATAATAAATAAGTAAAACTAAATTTTCAAGAGATATCATTTGTTATTAAGTAGGATTCCTTTCCAAACAGCCAGTAAACTATTCTATTCTGCCAACATTTGTAATTATGACTCGCCTTTCCCAAAGGAAGTTTTGCAATGCTTTAGCAACCGAGATGGATTACACGATAACTTAGCAGATGACAAAAAGATTTGCAGAATCTTTGGGCACAAAATTCACAAGATCTTTTTGTTATAAATAAAACAAAAGACCTTTTACAAAAATCCTCTACAAGTCCATTAAGCAACTGCAGCCTTTCAGGGGCACTAACCCTAAATTCAGATACTAAGGACCACAGCCAAAGGAATGCTGTGTCATACAGCATGGAAAAGCACTTATTCTGATTTATCCCAAACCACTAATTATTCAAAATACATTTTGCTGATTAGGTCATAAAGAGTAAAAGAAAACACATGTCATTATATGGCAATTGTTAAACATAAAAAAAAAGCTTGGGCAACATTGTAATTGTGGAGAAGCATGAATGGTTTGAGGCTAACCCCTGTGTAGAGAGGAAACATGTTATTTAAAGTTTAGGTAAACCTCAGTTAATATATAACCAAGTGCATTCTTGGAGCACTGTGCATCGATACTGCCTCCCAGAAAATCAGAAAGCATAGAAAATTATAGTCTGCCATTATCATGTAGCTCAAGTGCAGTTAGAGGTGCCTTTCCTGTTCATCTCATATGTGAAAAATTGCCTTTGGAACACTGTGATCCAGGAACTACTCATGAAATACACCTTCCACGTGATTGTAGCAAGCCACAGCTTCTTGAAGATGTATCTTTGTGTCACATACCCTGAATTTCCATGAGACAAGCAGAGTGCTGGCTTCTTCAGGTCTCAGTAAAAACCAAGTAGTTTTTTTTTTTTAATATTTTGTGGGTTTGGTTTTCAAAAAAATCAAGTTATTTACGAGGTGGCATAATTCTAAATCTATGCTAAATTGGTTGAAAATGCTCTTGAATTCTGTTGGCTGGATTCTATTACAAAAGCACAGCAGACATGATAGTCCAGCAGGAGCTGTCTGTGCCTGGTTTTAATTCTGGTTTGGATGACAGTGTTGCCACAGTTACTTGGCAGTTTGGGAAGGGTCTGGAGTTATGGTTTTCAATCATCCAGTTTTGCCATTTAGAATCTGATCCAACTTTTGAGTGGATAACATTACAGTCTGTAGTATTAATATCATTATAATTTTAGATCCCATGGCACTGGTAAAAATATGATGGTTCCAAACCACTATACATGAAGCATTAAAGGTATACAGACATAGTATTCTGAAAAATTCATGCATTATAATAGATAAACTCTATACAGTGCCTTATGTTACTGTAGGTGCCCTATATATACAAGGAAATAATTTGGTATATACCTTACAAGTATGTTTTCATAGTTGCAGAAGCATTAAGGAATTTCTTTGCAGGGTTTTATCTCTGCAGAACCAGTCCTGAACAAGTGCTGATTAACTTAATGAAAAGCTTAAGAGACATTTGCTCCCTTAATGTGTAAATTCACTGGTGTTGGTGTCACCTTCTCTAAGATGTTGATTCGATATCAAAGTTATTTTTCCTGAAGACTTCATGAAAACTAATGGAACTGCAAGAATTTTCATATGATAATCCAGTAATTGCTGTATTCCTGTCTCTGGAGGGAAACAAATACTTACTTTTTCTCTGTATTTATTAGGGGATCTGTACTGGACATCTTCTTAGGTGCACTATTTAAATAAAAGTTCAAAATGAAGAATTCTGACACATGAAGAACTGGCTCCTAACCAGGAAAACAACTGCTGTGAAAAAAAAAAAGAAACCACTTTTTGAAATTTAAATGGTCATATCTATTTTCAGACACTGAAAACATTCTTATTTATTACTATTTGAAATCAAGCTGGAAAAAGAGAACTGCCATGATAAAACAGCTACACTTCATTGCTGAAAATAGTTAACAACTCAGGCTTCGTTGTATGTGGTACCAAAACATCTCACATCCTAATTCCCTCTTAATTTATGAGGTAGGAATTAGGATAAACCTGAATCCCCTGTGATTAAAATATTCTAAAAAAGGAAAGAACAGATTACAATTTCAAGATAAAGTAATGTAACTGCCAAAGACAAAAAAAAAGTCTCTCTATTTTTTTTTCCTCTATCAAAGGTTTCTTGTGGAGGGAACGTTGTGTGGAACATGATAAGGTGTTCTGTGTGTCTTTTCTCATGTTTTTTTAACTTACTGTCTAGAATTCAGTGTGTATGAACTTCTCACACGAAGTATGTAGGACAGGCCAAAACACACAAAATGGGATTACATACCACTAATGTAACAAAACCCCCAGTAATTCACATTGTGCTTTTATTAGCACATACAACAGGTCAACAGGAAATAGAAACACTAATTCCTGCAGGTCAATATTTGGAATACAATAAAATTTCCTGCAGTTTTCAGATCTCTCCTTAAAGGATCAAAACCCCACTTTGTGAATACAGTGGAAGTACCACAATATTGCTTCACTCCAGCCTTTACCATTCTCTTATTCAACACATCTAAATGGAAAATGAAGCAATATCAGGAGCTGTCAGTCCTTATGTGGTTCATGTTACTGGAACCAGCACAGAAGAGGAGCACTGCTCCAAAGCTGTAAATTTAAGTATTGCTAGAGGAAAGTTTATTATGGTGCATGGGACCAGTCGTGGGAAAAGCTATTGTTTGTGAATTTTCCTGACCGTGCCCATCCTGAAGTTATTGCTGTTTGCAAACAGCTCTTAATCCCTTTGCAGCGTGTCAACACCTGTGCCTGAACAACAACAAATCCCTGCGCTGGGGGAAGTGAAATGAACAGGCACCAAAACACCACTGGGGAAAACAAACAAACAAACAAACAAAATAAACGACCGGTGTCAGTGTCCACAACCGGCGGAGATTTGCGCGGCCTCGGAGGGACCAGCGGGAACAGCCCCGTGCCCAGCACCCATCCGGGGGCTGCTGGGGTGGTACCTGAGGGGTAACCAGGCACCTGAGAATAACCAGGCACCTGAGGGGTAACCAGGCACCTGAGGAGTAACCAGGCACCTGAGGAATAACCAGGCACCTGAGGAATAACCAGGCAGTGCAGAGGTATTGTCTGGTTATCCACCAACAACCTCGTCCAGATACTTGAGGCACCCTGGCACCAGGTTTATGAAGTATCTGGTTACTCCTCAGTACCCTGGGTACCAGGGTATCCCGGTTATCCTTCAGTACCCTGGCACCAGATATCTGAGATACCCTGGTTATCCCTCAGCTCTCTGGTTATCCCTGGGTACCCTGGTACCAGATACCTGAGGTATGTGGTTTTTCCTCAGTACCTTGGTACCAGGTACTGCGGCGCCCTGGTTATCCCCTGGTACCCTCGTACCGGGGGTACCTTAGTTATCCCTCGGTACCCTGGTACCGCGGGTATACTGGTTATCCCTCGGTACTCTGCTACCAGGTATTTGAGGCGCGGACCCCGCTGAGGCATCTGCGGGACAAAACCCCCCTCCCGGCCGTGCCCCGCTCGCTGAACCCGCTCCTTGGCCGGCCCTCCGGTGCCGCTCCCGTCCAGCACCGCCCGCCCCGGCACCGCTCCGTGCCGGGAGCCCTCGGGGCTGCGCCAGTTACCTCGTACACAAACCCGCCGCCCGAGCGGTCCCGCTGGGGGGGGGACGGAGGGACCGAACACCGGCGGGTGCACCGGGACCCCCCGCGCCTCTGCACCGCTCCGAGGGGGCGCGGCGGGCGGGCAGGCGATGGCGGCTCGACCCGCCCCGCTCCTGCCTCATCCCGCCTCCACTCCCGCCTCGCTCCCGCCCCTCAGCCGGCACCGCCCGGCCCTTCCAGCGCCTCTCCCGAGAGCCCCCGCGCCGCGGACATGGCGCTGTGCGGGCCGGGCTGGGCCCGCTGTGCCCGCGGGCTGCGGCTCGGGGCGCTCCCCCGGTGCGGGCTCTGGGGGACCCGCGGCGTGCGGAGCTCCAACCCCTTCACCCGGCAGCAGGAGGAGGAGTGGCGGCGGCGGAACCGCTCTGCCGTGGGCTACATCGCGGCGGCCGCCGTGGGCATGGTGGGGCTGTCGTACGCGGCCGTGCCGCTCTACCGCCTCTACTGCCAGGTACGGGGGGCCCGCGGGCGGCGAGGGCGCGGGGGGCGCGGGGCCCTCACTGCCCTTCCCTGACAGGCCACGGGGCTCGGCGGGACCACGGGCGAGGGGAGCAGCGCGGAGCGGATCGAGAGCATGGAGCCGGTGCGGGACAGGGTCATCAGGGTCACGTTCAACGCCGACGTGCACTCCAGCATCCAGTGGAACTTCAAGCCGCAGCAGAGAGAGATCTACGTGAGTCGCTCCGATCCCCCCTCGGATCCCTCACCAGGAATCGTCAAGGCTGGAAGAGAGATCTTCAGAGATCACCCATGCCAACCATCCACCCGGCACTGCCACTGTAACCCCTAAACCACCAAACCACATCACCCCCACCAGATCCACACACCTCTGGAACACGTCCAGGGATGGTGACTCCACCATTCCCTGGGCAACCTGTTCCAAGCCTGACCACACAAACAGCGAAAAATTTTCTAATATCTAATCTGAGTCTCCCCTATCTGGTCCTCTCACTGCAAGCACAGCAGAAGAGACCTGCCCCCACCTCACTACACCCTTGTGTGGAGTTGTGGAGAGCAATGAGGTCCCTTCTGAGCCTCCTTGAGACTAAACAAACCCAGCTCCCTCAGCCCTTCCTCATCAGACGTTTTCTAGACCTTTCATGAGCCTGGTTGCCCTTTGCTGGACACGCTCCAGCACCACAGTGTCCTTTTTAAAGTGAGGGACCCAAAGCTGAAGGCCCGGCTGTGAAGGCACCAGGTTTAGCCTCGTGTGATTTTGTCTCCTGCATCCCCATTGTGGACACCCATCCATTGGCATATCTGGGCCCTGATCTGGAAAACACCCAACCAGGCACTTCAGCTCAGGGTGCTCCCTCAGTTCTGCCACTTTGGGATGGCACGTTGGGTGCTGGTGGCTTCTGCTTCCAGAGGGCAGAACTTAAGTGCCTGCTGTGGTGTAGTCAAAGCGTAGTTGCCTCCCACCATCCCATCAAGGCTTGCTATCAAAACTGTATTTATATATACACTTCATGGTATATACACCATATGTATACGATATATACACTGTAAAGTGTGTATATGTACTTAAAATACAAATATAGAGTGTAACTGTATATCTAAACCTGCCTAAACAGCCTTGTAGGACTGTTTTTGAATGGGGGTAAATTGTATGTAAGCAAAATATTCATGAAATAATCAATTTGAAACAGCAAAAGAGAAAATTAATTCTAGCTAAAGCCCGAAGAACTTGGTTTGAAGGGTGGAGGGCTCCACTGGCTTAAACAAAAAAGGAAATCACTGTACAATTACGTTACACAGGTGGTACCAGGAGAGACTGCACTGGCATTTTATAAAGCGAAAAATCCTACTGACAAACCAATAATTGGCATCTCCACCTACAACGTGATCCCCTTTGAAGCAGGACAGTATTTCAATAAGATACAAGTAAGTGTGAACAAAGCAAAGATTGCATTTTCCTTTACACAAAAGAAAATAGTTATCCATCAATTAGCACCACTGACTCTGAGGGCAGGTGGGAACAGGGTGAGCTGGCCTGGCCCACTGGCACCTTTGCACACTTCATTAAAAGCTAATTTCTTTCCCTGTAATACAAGAAACGGAACAGAATTGCTGTCGTGTTGCTCATATGATTGATCCTTCCCAGGATTTTAGGGATGTACAGGGAATGAGAGTTGATATTAAAAGACAAAGCTTTCTCTCATGTTGGCACAGATAAAACTGCCAGCCATCACTGCTGTCTAATTGTGGTTTTTTTTCCTCCCCCCCTGCAGTGTTTTTGTTTTGAAGAACAGAGGCTGAATCCTCAAGAGGAAGTGGACATGCCTGTCTTTTTCTACATTGATCCAGATTTTGCAGAGGACCCTAAAATGGCTAAAGTTGATTTGATCACCCTCTCTTACACCTTCTTTGAAGCAAAGGAAGGACAGAAGTTGCCACTTCCTGGATATCAGTAATGGGCCATCTCTACAAAAAAGAACTTCTGCTGCCTGACTGACAGTTTTAAGACCATTTTTCCTTGCAAGTCAAAACTGCAGGAGTACTGTGCAATATGAAATTATATTATTAAACCAACGCAGGCACTGCTGTTATTAAAGTATATATATATTTTTTTTAAAACCAACTTAATGCAGTTGGAATACTATTTCTTAGTGATAGCATTTCTTCAGTGGAAGGGAATACACTGTTCCTGGAATTGAGAGGGTTTTCTCAAGCCATCTTTTTATAAAATGTTATCTGAATACTATTAGGCAAATTTTTAAACCCAAGGGTAAATTGAGATCTTCATTTAAATGCAGAAGAACAAATCAGTTTATTAAGCATCTAAAATTGCATTGCTGGCTCTGGAGAATAAATTCCATGTTACTTTAAAAAAAGGTAAAACCAGATAACCAGTTAAGGAAATCTCATAACTAAATAAAGTTAGACTGTATTCCTGTGTAACCCTCCCTGGCACTGGAGGATATGATGATTCAGAAGATGAGGCACCCTCTCAGGTTATTACTGAATCAGTAGTTCATTTGGTAAGAGCAGACTGCTCTGAAACAGTTATCATTAGAACAGTAATTTAAGTGTAAGCACATCAGATCTGTGGGATGGTTTCCATTTAGAAAATACCACCTAATTTCCATGTTGTGTTTTACTCATTTCAAGTATCTGTACTCTAATTAGAGTACTCAGTGCCTCTGCAGAGGGCTGCACCCTGGGCACCTCTACACAGAGACAGGCTTGGCTTAGGTACGAAATGCTTTGAGGGAAGGGCAGTGCATAAACAACTGCTCTAAACTGCAGCTAAATTAACAGTGTAGGAGTCTCCTCAAAAGCCCAAATCAGCCCCATTCAGAGGCTGAGTCCAACAGAACCTGCCCAGCAGCACAGCAGTTCTTCAGAGGGACTCCCTGTTTACCACCAGACCACGTAAGCCTGTATTTATGTAACTTTTGGTCATTATCTGTGGGGTGGGTGTAATAACACTTTATCATTGCTTTGCAAACGAGGAGTTGCTGAGCAAGTTTAAGTGACCTACTCATTTTCAGACAGGAGTTAATATCAGCCAGTATCTCTTCTGCTAGGCCAGTTCTTTCTACCCCCTTTCAGCAGATGAGATCTAACAAAGTAAGACTAATGTTGGTTTGCTTGGACTCTGAAAAGTTAATGGGTACATCAGAAATGACTTCCAGTTACTTGAGTCTAAGTTATATTTGCATACAATAATTCAAAAAGGTGTTCTTTTGAAAATAAATGGATGCTACCTTTAAAATACATTACTGTACCAATTATCTGTGTTGGCTAAACAGATCCTGGATGACATTCATGTCAGGTCTTCACTGTATATTAAAGTTTTAAAAGTTTTCATTCTTTCGTCTCTCTAATGCATTTTATCCAGCTCACACAAGTTAAATACATCTGTATGAAGACAGCAGCAAGCTTTATAATTCCAGCATGCTTCAGGAAAAGAAAACCCATCAAGAGCAATCTTTGAATCCAGGCTAGGGGAAAAAAATTCTTACCTGGGTTGACTTTAGTCCATTGTCTTTTTGAAAGCTGAACTGATCAGGGCAGTTCTCCACACATTCCTTTGTTCTGGCCACCTGCTTCAGAAGGAAAGGAACATCCCCCTGGCAAGTGCCAGTTCCTTAAAAATGCAGGTTCTCCCCTCGAGTTTGAAAACCCAAGTTTGCAGATACTGAGCACGTTCCAACTGTAAAACAAGCTCTGTAAGCTCGGTAATTAGCCAGTTCCCTTTCATTTATCTGTGACCATTTTGCTGCTTTAAATACATGAAGGTTCAGTCAGCAATCATCCATTACGGATTACCACACTGAAATAGCCCTTTTTGATTTGTTACCCATCAGTGTGTGAGTTTTGCCAATACAAGTAAGCTGTAGGGAAAAAATTGATCCACCTCAAATCCTATTTTCAGCTGTTTGCTCAGGCTGCTGCAAATAATACAAGAGAAATTAGAGTAAAACAACTTGCCTTTTCACCTCAGCTTACAAAAACCCCAAACTTGTGTTTTGGATAGAAGCAAGGTGTTCTAAAGGTCCTGCAGCAACATTGCTGACTATGCAGTGACACACCACAGATTTACACTAAAATACTTCCAAAACCACCTACATTTGGTGTTTCAGGGAATACACAAATATGCAAAAACTCAGAAACAACGAGAGTTAGCTTCTCAGTAAGCATTTGCCTTTATTTGGAATTTTATGCTACAAAAATTGCAAAACCAGCTGAGAACTTATCCCTTAAACAGTTAACATAAGGAATGTTTAAAATGCAGTATTTCACAAAAAATTAGCTTATCTGCTATGAACATGAACTATGTCCTCAAATTTTATATCAACTATAAATTCAGAGAACTATACCTGTTAAAGTGCATAGTTTACATTCAGCATTAAAATAGATAAGGCACTGTAATTATTAAAAGATAAAACTGTTATTAACAGGGTTAAACAACTTAATTAAAGTAAATGGATAACTACTGCTCATCTGCATTGTAGATAATTAATTTTTCCTTCACCAGAACAATCTCTGCAGGGCAGGAACATTGAGAGAAATAATTGATCCCCCTTCAATATTTACTGAGTAAATAAAAGCAACAACAACAACAACATAGGAACAGGCAGTTTTTTTCTGTTCTGTTAATCGTGGATGACAGCACCTCGTGTCCCAGCTTTGGTTCTCTATGTTGGGGGATTTTAGGAAGGAAATAAAAAAAAAAAAAAAAGAAAATGTGTATTCAGGATATGATTGTAGAAAAATAACACTGTGTCTTCAGATCTCTCCGAAGAGGCCCAATTTTAGAAAGAAGTCCTGTATATCAAAACCCCCTTATAAATTTCCAGGGAGGTGAACACAGAGAGCAGTGAGGCCAAAACAGAAACTGGATTCTGCAGTTTTCGTAAATGTAGCGTCCTTTTTGTTTACTTGTGTCAGGTGTCAAGTGTTACCTCCTACACAGGTGAATTTAGAAGTCATATTTTAAAGCCCCCCCCCCCAAATACCTCAAAATAACCATGCAAGTCACCGTGAAGAATACACAGCTGAACATTTAGGACAAATTGTCAAGGTGTTAGATCCAACTAACTCTTCAGCTTGCACACAGCTTAGTACTCCAATACTAATTATTTGTTGTGCCCAAACCTCTTGTGTTATTCACTTGTAGGTTACAGGAAGCGCTGCACAGGACCAGCACCAGAGAATAACGTGGTCAGGACAAGACTCCCCCTCCACCCTCAGCAGTCTGTGCTCTTTTTAACGTCTGTCTTCAGCACATCATCGATTTCTTCATAAATAGCTCTGAAAGAGGAGGAATTACATCACAGGTGTTTCCTTTGGACAGAAGGCACCAGTGCAAAGCTGTCCGAGCACGGACTGCCAAGGGTTTGTGGTGTTGCCTCAGAGTGGTTGCAGGATGCCCAGGTTTCCATGGAAACCAAGAGGCAGCCCTGTGGTGCTGCTCTGATTAGACAGTTAATGAGATACCTCTGGACATTGTCACTTCTGATGAAACAAGTTTGGGAGCAGGACTGCGAAAAGCAAATGGCAAGTGTACCACCATGCAATTACTGCACTAATTAAAATTAAACAATGAAAGCTCTGTTGAGGTTTTTCTGCCTCAGAATTCAATGGTTCCTTGGAAATAAGTTTTGTATAGATGGCTCTATTTTTTTTTTTTTTTTTTTTGCAATTTGGCAGATAAGAAAACTGTATTCTGTCTGGCTTAAAAGTTACTTACTCAGTGGGAGCCAAGGGATCAAATTCCATTATCTCATAGTAATGAGGTGATTGTGACTTGTTCTTTGATGCAGCTGAAGAATAAAGACAGGCAGATACGTTCAGATTTAAATGACAGTGAAAAGCATATTTACTGCATGTTACTTTTAGTGTCCTCCTGAAAGGAGCAGATTATCTGCTATGGATCCAGCTGCTTTAAATACCAAAATGGATAGACTCTAAGAGAAGCCATGAGCAATATGAGAGTTTGTCATTGATTGTTGCTGCCCATAGACTTAAGCAATCATTAAGTAAAGGCCTTAAGTTCTAACAAGAAAAATAAATCTCTCTGAAACAGGTGGTTTGCAGTACTTGTTACCTGCTGGTGATGGTCCATTCAATGGTGTCTGTCCAGCCTTCACATTTATTGGGTTCAGAGGCACTGGGCTTAAAAGAGTTGCCAGCTAAGGATATCAAGCAAAACCATGCTTAAACAAGTTGTTCTATGAGAACCAGTTTGATTTAACTTATATAACTGCTGGCTTATCTTTACTCTCAGACTGTTGCAGCTGAAGTTCTAAGGTCAACAGTTAACAAGCCAATTAATCTCCATTCCCCACACAAACTTTGAAGCATCTTTTAGTGTTATCTGTAACACATTTATATCATTTACTTCTGTGTAATTTGTTACACTGCACAGACTCTAAGACTGGCTCTTATTTGCAGTTTAAAATAAGGACTATACATATGTGTCTGGGGGCTGCTTCTCATCTTTTCTATTTCATGCTGCCTACCACAGAACAGTATTCAAATTCATACCATTACCTCAAAGCCCCTTCATGTTCTTTGCATTCCTTCTGTCATGGCTGTTTCTCTGCACATGGCATTTGCCTTACACTGCACTCAGGGTTTAAGTGTTTGATTTTTTTGGTGAGCTGTGTTTCTGGGGTTTGCCTTTTTTTATATTTCTTTTTTTTTTTTTTTTTTAATATCTTATTTGGTACAGGAAATACATCAGAGTAACATCATGGCAATAGGAGGAGAGCTCAGCTTGCTTCACATAGCAACAAACACAAATAATAGAGCAACTGCTTTCTGCAAACTCCCCTGGGATTGTGCTGGACCCAAGGAAAGATTCTTTCATATTAGCACCCGTGGTATCACAAGAGGAAAGCTGACCTGGTCACCAAGCACAGTGTTCCCTGATGTATGGAGGAGGACCAGAGAACAGATCTTTTGTATCCCATTTGGAAGCAGTCAGGGTACATCCAAACAGTTCTCACTTTGACAGCTGCCAGACAAGAATGATTATCCTGAACATGAGCATTACTCACATTGCTATAGGTATGTCCAGCTGGGCTGTTCACATTATGGTTTTGTGCTTCAGTTGCAAATCTAGGAGAGAGTAATATGTGGAAAGTAACTAAGAAATGATCAAAACTGCATAATCCAATTATCATTTTTTTTTGCTGGTCTGTCTTCCCTGTATGTCACAACTGAGAGCAGCACAGGCAGGTGGGCCAGTGTCCCATTCAACAAGGACACCTCTCCTACCTTAAACTCTTTTACTGACCTGTTTCATGTTTCTGCCTTTCCCTGCAGCACTCCAGCAGAAAGTCACAGATATCTCAAGTATATTTTGCCTGTCAAGATACATCTCTCTCTATAACTAAACAGTGCTGCCACAATAGTGTATTTTGAGCTTGTTTAGCAATGTCTAGCACACAGGTATTTTTCATTTGTGTAAAAGCAGTAAATCTGTGTCCTCAGACCTTTTTATACTGATTAATATTGATTAATTATATTATATTGATTAATTGAATTACAGAGTACTAATACCTCTGAGGATCTGTTATCTGCTCCCATTCCTTGATAAGAGACTACTCACGGGGATTGCTGAGCTTTTGTAGGAGTTGCTGAATCCAGCTGTGGATAAATTGATGGATGATGCCTGTTTTTATCTTCAGGGTGGGCAGATATGCCATCTGAAATTCAAAACAATAATTAATGATCACTTAAACATTATTAAGCTGATGTTAGTTCCTTTGAACACTGTAAGAGTAAAGTTTTGTTTGGAAGGCCTATAAAGAGTCTGAAGTGAATTGCTGTTTATCACATGAAAGGCAAAATTTTAATAACTCTGAGAAGTAATAGATCCAAGACATTTATCTCCTTAAAATACCAGAACAACATCAGTAGTGCTCTACATGGTAGATACCACTTGAAGCTCTTTTCGCTATTTCTAAAAGATTAAAATGGAATTCTAGGCATTTATTCCTGGGGGGACATGCACACCTTTAACTTTAGTATATGGACTTTCTTAGAGTGGGTAAAAGAGGGGCTTCTACAAACAGTAATTCAGGGCACCTGAAGCCAAGTCTTTCTAACACCAAGTGCCTCCTGAAAAAACTCTGGATATGTTTCTTTCTTCCAAGCCTTCCAAGAACAAGCAACTCCCAGACTGTTTTACAGGCCTCACTGGAGTAGAAAACAGAGCATGTTCTACTACTCAAATGTACATAACAGGGGAAAAAGATTATTGCTTCCCCCGTAAACAAATTACAGGGAACCTTATACTACCTAACATTTTTTTCCCTAGGTAACCATATCAATTCTCCTTTTAAGAAGATTTAAGGAGCATCCTTGAAGTTTCTTGCAAGAAACTTCTTGACTCCTCCACTAAGCTCTTGGTGGCTTGTTTTAGGAAAGCAGGCTGCAAGGGAAAGGGATTTTTACCACTTACTAGGGCCTGAAGGAGCCACTGCAGAGTCAGCCTGCACCACTGCTGCCACAGGAGGTGGAGAATCTATGGAGAGGCCAAGTAGATCACTTGAGGGAGCAGATGGCTGTTTCCTGTACAGCTTAACATTTAAAAAAGGGTAAGTTATTTTACGGTTTTTTTTTTTTGGTACATTTTTTTTTTTAAGGAACTTGTATAGATTTTAAAACGTTGTTATTTTCACAGAACACAAACTTTTAAAATCTTAATATTAAAAATTGGCAAGTATGAGAGAAGATCAGGACTCTGTGTGTGTGTGTGTGTGAAATATAGCCAATGAAATAAAAAATGCATTCCAGAAAAAAATCAGTTTCAAAAGATAAAGAAAACCAGTTCTAATGCAGAAAACAGAAAGGACTCGGTTCTAAAAAGCCACTGTGAACTTGTTTAGATACAGTTTGATATCGATCTTCTGAGCAATCCTGTACAATTATTATCATGCTACTTATTTATGATACTTAGATTTATTACATTCTTAGGAGATTGATTTTTTTTCTGTCCTGTATTGGATAGGAGAAGTTCAAAATCGCAACAATATTTCCTAGGACCCAAAAAAGGGTTCCCTTTGTTCCTCCTGTGAATGTGTTGGCATTAAAAATGTAGCCAACCAAAGCTCTAATAAAACCACATGCTTGAATCATACAGGTTTGGTCACACCAGATGAAAATTAAATAATTAAAGATGATGCATTTTAAACTCAGAGACTCCTGAATAATATAAAAATGCACAGAGAGCACCATTTGGACTATTAATTAATCCAATAGTGCATCCATCAAGCAAAAGCATCCACCTACATAACCAGTCTGTAGTAATAGTGACTTTTCAAGGAAAACAAGAACATCTTCTACCTTTCTTTAATAATTGTCAGCAGTATTTCAGCGTTCATAATGCATTTTCATGTTGAGTCCTAGACTACACAATTATGGCTTAGCAGAAGCTGAAACATGTGCAAAACTACTTTGGGCAATATAATTAACAGCCATAATTATCAATCAATAAAGGATAGTCATTAAAGATTTGCATTATTCACAATTCAGAAAAAGCTTTGAGTCAGGAAAAAAACCCATCAGCAACAGCGAATTCTGATAGTGCAAAGCATTTCAGTTCATAAATTCTTAACAGAGAGCAAATGAAAAGAAACATTATGGTTTCTCATTTTGTGTATGGCAGATAATTGTGCTTAGCTGGAGAGGTAATAAACCAGCATTTGAATAGACCTCTCTCTCTCTCATTTTTCCTGACCAAGCTTCCATTTCGGATTTGACATTTTTTTGTATTTTAATTACATGAATTTGCATGTAATTCTGCAAGTGAAACTTTAGAAAATCAGGAAGAGTAGTATCAGCGTGTTGTCTCCTGTGCCTCTCAACTAGAGAATATAATTCTGCATGTATCAAAAGGGTATTTTTCACAACAAAAAGAAAAAGGAATGTTTGCAGCCCTGCAGTTGATGAGTTCATCCATAATTACCTCTTCACGTTCACGTTGTATTCTCTGGTTCTCCAGAAAACGAACTCTGTTTCGAGAGAACCTGTTGAAGTTGCAGAGTTAAATGTTCATTCTTACATTTCTGTGATGCTATTCGTAACATGAAACTGGTTCTAAATAAAGTTTGATTATCAAAAGACTCCAGAGGCACCAAACAAGCACTACAGGTGGTGTCCCTGGGCACTTGTCCCTGCACAGGCAGTGTGATTCCCCTTCCAGGGCTGTGTTCCTGGGATCACCTGCACTAACACCACCTGGTTTATTCCTGGGCTCACATTTGGAGACAGTCCTCTGTTTGTTCCAAAACACAACCAAGGCACAGCTGACAATGGTTTGCCCGAGTTCATGCCAGATAGGTGACTATGAACACACACTGCACCAAATCTGGCTCCTCCTGATGAGAACACTCTTCCAACCGAGCCCCAGGAAACCTTCTGGGCAGCTCCCTGCCTTCCCTCGTGCCATCCCAGGGCAAACCACGTGCCTATTCTGGCACACAGCCCTCTCACTAGTTCAGAAATTTGAAATAATTTTTTTAAAAAAGGAAACAAACAAGAAAAAAATCTACCTGCATAAATGTGTGTGTACTACGAGTGACAACAGTGCTACTGTGGGTCCAGAGGAGACCCAGGCAAGTGACATTCAGCATCCAGAAGGTCACTCTGGTTCAGCACCAAGAGCCCTGAGTGACACAGGCATGAGACTGTCTACACTGTTCAGTGTTACTGTACCAGTGAGGCCCAGAAAGAGAACACAGATGAACAGAGGAACAGAAGGAAAAAGCCTTTCCAACTGCAGACCACAAAATGTTTCTCTGAAATCCAGGAAGGACAGAGAAGCTACAGACACTAGAGGGAAGCACTGTTACACACAAGAGCCCTTTGTTGCACAACGGAGATTGCTCCGGATTTAATTTGGATTCTACATTAATAATGAGAAACAGAGAATGCAGCACGACTTGTCCTCAAACAATACCCACAGTATGAAACAGATGCAGCTCGTTAAAATCAGTTTGCCCTTTGCACATCTCATTGTTCAGGGGGAGAGCCAAAGGACAAATCTGCAACACAAAATTAACTAAATACATTTTCATACTTTATCAGCTCCGAAGTGCAATGGATCTGCACCCAGGAAGACTCATTACATATAAACCATAACATTACAGTATTAGAATGCAGTATTTTCTGTCCAGTTTCATAATGGCAAATTAATTAGTCCTTCAACCACCAGGTCTTTCATAAGGCATTTGTTAAATTATACCCACAAGCTTCTATTCACAGTTCAAGAGATTCCTGGCCTTGCCAGTATTCATCAGTTATAACAAAAATGTAAGCCCACCTCTGACATCAGTGGATTTACAAATGCTGAACAGAATTCCTTTTTTGCTTTTAAAACGAAAAACTTCTTCAAGCAAGAAGTGAGAACACAGTTCTTTCAAGGCAATTGCTGTAAATTATGGTAACAGTACTGCAGACATAAGATTTAGGGATAAATGAATAAATGACAACTAAACGTTGCCAAGATTAGGCCCAAAGTTTGGGCCCATGACACTTAGAAGAATTAGTGATATTTTCAGTGCAGCATTTGGAAGAGGATTAAAAAGAAAAGATGACTGAATTCTATAAATCTGCCAAATTTAATCATGAACCATTGCACTTTAATGATTTCTAGAACATTTCTTAGCCATGGAAGAGATCAACTACTTAAGATGGAATGGTAGCTCCTATTAAATCTGAATACTCTCCATGAGTGCACTCATGTGATATTTTGGGGGCTAACACTGGAATTTTGAGTTTAACAATAATTTCAGTTTTGCTGGCATCTACTCATGCTACCAATGCCATAACAGACAAACACCCAGGATGTCAACAGGAGCCCTGCAGTGCTTTCATGTGTGAAAGAAAGAAACATTTTCTGCTGTAAGACAAGCAGAACAGTCTGTTTCAATCCAGCTGAGAACAGCAAGTGACTCTCTTAGGTGTGCAATGAGGCAGAATGCTGCTCCATGGCCAGTTCCTGCAGTAAAGCTGTCAAAGTTGCTTAGAAAGGAGAACAGCTATTCCTTCCTGAAAGCACAGACACTTAACAGAGATAAGGACCATCACCAGCACCAAAGGTTTTGCAGCAGGCTGATGACAAATTCACTGGGCACTCCCAAAAAGGAGTGTCAAATTCCAAAATGAATCCCGTTTGTGTGCCTCCATCTGATTACTGTCTGTGCTGTAAACTCCTTTTACTCCATTCTAATGGTTTTCTAACTACCTTCCTGAACCACTTTTGGAGTGTTTAGAAGAAGGCAAATATATAACTTTCTCTTTTTGCAATCATGTTTCTTTTCAGGATATAAGGATAAAATCAGTCCCATGTGGAGGATCAACACCAGGGACCATCTGTCCACTGAGTGCACTTAATTCAGTTAGGATTCCAAATGTGAGGAGAGAGACCCTGTACTTACCTTTCATGTCCCAGGAGGACATTATTCAGATCTTCATTTACTTGTATTAACTCAACTATCACATCTTCATTCTCCACTGTCACCAACAATTCCATGATCCTCTCCTGCATCATCCGACAGGTCTTATACAGTTTCTGCCCGAGGCAAGGGAAGAAAAATAAATAAATAAATTGTAACTGTGATCTCTCAGTTTGTCAGTTCTGGAGATGAATGATAAGACACTCGAGCATTGCAGACTCACAGGCAATATTCCTTAATTTACACAAACCACATGTGCTATTTGCTTGAATTGCAAATGGCACAATGTTCATGTGTTTGACCTCTGCAGTGCAGGTTCACAACTCCCACCACCACAGCCAGCACTCCTACCCAACCCCTACCTCTTGACCCATCTTCGTTTCTGAAGATATATCTGTCTCTAAAGTCTAAATTACACATTGCAAAATAACACAGATCCCTCTGGGTGATGTAGAGCAAATGTGATTTGATTCTGCTTGAAGCTGATTAAACTCAGCAGGATGCTTGGATGTAATCCTGTTCAGTGTCTGCTTGAAGAAAAGACAATAGTGACCTGAAGGTCAGAAGTGACACAAGTCTCCAGCTCTAACTATTCCTCTGAGTGGGGAAGTCTGGATGCATTTCACCTATGCACTTTTGAGAAAGTAACACAAACCTTACAGAACCACTTGATGGGAGAATTATGAGGGTTCATCAAGCAGAACTTTGCATTATTACCAGTTGAAATGGAACACAGTTTGTTTATATTACTCTCCTCTGTAGAGCTGTGCATGTTCAAAGAAACAAATTCTTTAGCAACAGGAACTTTAACTCAGCCAACATTTTTTTTCCCCTTCATTTGCAAATGCTGGCTGGCTCCACTTAAAGAAACAAAAAAAGGTGGGGGGAAATCACTTTATTTGCACACTGCTATCCAGAAATTTCTCTGGTATTATTTTCAAAGTGATCTGATTTTTCCTCAAAAAACCACATACTTCACGGAGATAAATTACTTATGTAAAAAGAAAATTTGCACCCCTTTGCCAAATCTGTGTCAGGATTACAGAGTGCTGTACTTTTCAGTACTGTATCTTCATAGCCCAGGATAAAATGCACAAAAACCTATTCAGCTTAATGTCTGTAATTAAATTTAAAACCTTTCAGACTCCACACTTTACTACCTGATCAGCATTTAAAAAACATATATTTCTTATGGCTCCATTACACAAGCAGACTGGCTCCTTTGCAAGCATCAATAATCAAAAGAGAAGGAAATTGAGACTCTCATTTCAGGCATGGTTCTGCCAGGCTTTGCTCCTCGTGCACTCTCCTTTTTTGAAAAACTGGAGTTTTACAATGAAGGAGCAGCAGCTGGAATAACAATCATCAGTGATTCCCATACATTTGTGCTAATTCTTACCAGCTGCTGCTCTGGACCCACATTCCTGCACGTTCATCCAGTATATCTATTCACTATCCAGTACAAAAGTTTGTGACTCTTCTTGGCTGACACTGAGCTATTCTTTAACTACTATTATTGGCCAGCACATTATTTCAAGTAAGATCTGATATCTTAAGCCTTGTCCAAAACAGGGTGGAGAAAGGGAGGAGCCTGGCCACTAATGAAGATAAAGAACTGAAAACATGTTGCACTGATCAAGCTCACCCTGTTTTAGCACTTATTGGGAGACTCCAGGTAGTCAAAAGGACTGAAATCAGTGTCTCCAACTCACTCAAAGCCTGAACAAGCAGCTCCTTTAATAAAGGACTTTGTTGTCTGACAACAAAAGCCTAATCCAAGCAAACCAGGTAGTGCCACAAACAAAAGGGAACATTAAACACTGTTCAAGGAACAGGGTGGCCCTGCTTGATGCTTTATTCCACTCCAGGCACAGGGGAAAAAGAACGGAAAGAACAACAGTGAAAGGAATGAGTTTTCAGTCCCTCTCCCACATATGGGAACTCCACACCCTGTCCTCAACCTTTTGCCAACAATTTTATTACTGGGAGTGTCAATAGGAATCCACTGGTTTACTGTGGGCAACTGAATCTGTGCACCCACATGCAGAAGGGCCACAGCAGGAGACAGGAAAGGAGAGACATATTTTTCCTGTTTCATAACCAGAAACATTTACCCTGTCATGGACTGGACAGAGGTGGCCAAGCAGATTAAACCCCTGTATTCTCAACAGCACTCAATAAGGGTTCCTTGCAAAGGAAAATTTCTACACTGGGCAGAAGAAGTGCACTCAAGGCTTGCAAAAATTAGATTAGTTATCCAAAACATTTAATGCTGTAAAACTGCTAAAAATGCATCCTCATCATAGAAGTTTGAAGGTAAGTTTAGAAACAGAAGGATGTGATAAAAGCTTTTCAAGCTCTTGCACACAGTATGGAACAGAAAAACTTCCATTGACATAGGTCACTACTGAAATGCTAAAGTAATACTGTATTTTTAATTTCTAAAATAGAAACCACAGCATAAGCAAGCAGAAGAAATGATGTCACAGAAGGAACATCTGCACGTTCACTGTCGAATCCGAACTGGACTATCGCAATACAATTCCTTCAGGCTACACTTTGGGAGCACGTGGATTCACCTGTAGCACAGCAAGCTCCCAGTCTCTGAGGTCAAGCCAATGCTTCATATTCCTCACTGGCCTTCAGTCTGCCTCCAAGGTACTGGTAATAACAAAGGGAGCACTGAAAACTGCAGGACGGATACGAGAGCGAGACAGTGTCATCACCTGTTTTCCCACAAGGCAACTGCGTTCTACTGGAATGTTCTCTGGGCTGTTTGACAGAACATGCTTAACAGAGAACGCTCCATTATGAAATTCCTTTGCCCTTGGAATTCCCTAGAGCTTAAATTTGCATTGCAAGCTGTATTGTCTTTTCCTGACTATCTCGATGTCAGGGGCAGGTGAAGGAGACAAAAGAAAAGCTGAGCAAAAACCAGAGATTGAAACCTGTTGATGGATTCCATTTGTCAGTTCGAATCCAGATGTTAAAAGAAAGGATGCAGCATATTTTAAAATCAGCTTTAACCAAATCAACATGCCCCACCAATGAATTATCATATACCTGTAAAAGATTCATATCATCTGGATTTTCAGAGCCAGGAGCATTTTCTTTTAATATCGATGACATGACTCTCACGTTCATTTTTGCCATATCCAGTTCACTGTACAGTTTCCCAACCTGTTGAATTCAATAGGAGAATATCGTGTAGGTGAGCAGATAAAGCAGAATAATTCTTACCCCTAATACATACTTTCTTCCCCATTAGGTATAATATGAGCCTAATTAGCATTATTTTACTCCAGTGACATGCCATGAAAATGAATGGAATTAGCTCAGCTTTTATATGTGTAATCAAACTAAGATCCAAACCTGATAGCACCACTTGTTTTCCTTGCAGCTAATCCTTCTCACTAATGTCACTCTTACTCCTTTTAGTTAGCTACAGGGAGGCAGGAACAGAAGTGAACTGTCCTTTCCTTCCTGCTTTTCAGAACAATCTTTTCACACAAGCCTTATGTAGAAGTAAGTTTGGCTTTCTCACCCACCTTTGAAGTAGTTTTTATCAATCTGCATAGCAGCATTGTAAGACATGACTAGATATTCACACACTTGAGTAAATGATTCCAGGAACCCAAACCCATGAATTTAGAGCTGTATCCCTTGATCTGATGGTCCCTTCAGCGGCCTGAGCACCCAGGCTGCTGGAGTCACACATTAACAGCACGTTTCAAGTGGACCTGCCCTGCTCTAAACCTGTAGTACTGCACCTGCTCTGGAGTCAACAACAGCGTTGGGCCCGTGGGAAGAGGCAGGAAGGAACGTTTGGCAGGACAAGCAGAGGAGGGTGATGACTTTGTAGAAGACCGAGGTGTCTGTGGAAAGACAAAAGAGCAGAGCTCGGGTTGAACAAAGGAACTGGTGCAGACATCCTGCTGAGAGAGGATCATCCCTGTCAGACCAGACAACTGGGCAGCAGCTTTCTCATAATCAGTGCCCCCAGGGAATTTGTTGAGCAAGGTCTGTTGACAAAAATAAATCTAATGGCTGTTTTGTCATGAAATGAGGCTTGGAATTCAGGTATCTTTGGAAAGGGCTTGCAAGTAAATTCCATCACAGGATAAAGTGGAAATGGCTAAAGAACGAGCCATCCAACAGCCAAGAGTCCCTCCCAAAGTGCCACTGCAGTTTTACAGGGAAGGACAGTTTAGAATGAGATCACACTTGGAAGCAGTAGCAAGGCTGGGGGGTTGAGTCTGGGGCTCTGCAGAAGGTGAACAACAAAAGCCTTCTGGATTGAAAAGCTGGAACACTCTGCCTGCAGAAAGCTTCACCTGCATTGTATTTGATCTGACTGCTAAAAAAACCCCCCAGATCCAAACCCAGCCAGCAAAGGAATACACAGTACAGGTCCTTCACTTCCTAGAGACTGAGGTAAAAACTCTGGTCAGGTCTGCTGTTGCTGAGATCAACAGAAGGTTTGCCAGATTTTAACTGTCAAATACACACGGTTGACAAAATAATCTCTGCTGTACTTGGTGAGGAAAATAAATTATTGTCTATTGAGAGCATTCTTCACACAGCTTGGTCAAACAACCTTAAAATACATAAGCTTTTGTGCACTCCACTATTCAGCCATCAAATCAAACTCAGGATAAATCTGAGTTATTCCTGTCTGCACTGATTATAGGCATCTAGGTCTATATTGCAAGGTTTCACCCTGCAGTGGATAGCTTTCACACTGCTCAAAACTCTTGTGAAAGCTCTTATAATAGAATAAAAAAACAGGAAAAAAGGGCTTTAAAACATGTACTGTATTTCCAGCTGATGTCCAATGCTCAAGCCATACTTCTATTTAATGTTCTAGATGCTACACAGTCCTACCTATCACACAGGCTTAAATAACAATTATTGTGTATGGACTGTGAAAACAGCTGGAGAGATATAAAGATAATAGTCTTTTTTATAGTTCTACAACTCTTGATTTAAGGATAGATGATGCTCGTGTTCTGAACAGTATGTGTTTTTGTGAAAACCTTACTCATGTTTGTTGAGGCTTTCAGAAGCTGACAAGTTTGGAGCACTCAGCACTCTTTTTTTTTTAAAGTAAACAGCATGGCCAAATCTTTGAAAGTCCCAAGACAGAGATGCTTCATTTTTGAGAACATATCCACTGATCTGTGGTTGGAAATAAAATAAACTATTATATAGGTCAGGTTTCTTTGTTGTTATCTTAGCTGTTATAATTGAAACCGATTCCTGCTCACGTGCTTAAGTAGGTTTGTCATATTCTGCCCTGGAGCATTTTAATAAAAAAAAATCCCAAACCAAACACACCTTCTTTGTCTGCAGAGCTCAAACAATTAATATATCCTGCTCTTGAAGTATCCTTGTATATCCTCACCTTAGGTCCACCACTGTTGGTGTGAGGGGATGGAAACTCCACTCCTTTCTTCAGCAATTCCAGGTAAACTTCTTTTACTTCACTCACATCCACCATTCCTTGCAAACCTCGGGCCCACGTCTAGTGTTGAAATGTCAGGAACAAAACAGTGACAGAAATGGTCAGTCAGTGGGTCAGACAAATGCTTCTAAAATGTGTCGTCCTAAAGACAGGTCATTCCCTACATCCACCCTGGATGGCTCCATTCAAAGCAGCAGCAACCACAACAGCTCCAGAGTTACCTCTCATCCTTCTGGCTGAGTGCAGCCACAGTCACAGCACGTGCACAGACTGGGAAGGGAATAGAAAAGGTGGAGGTTTTCCAGTTGTCTGCCTTTGTCTTCCAGTCTGTGCTACTCCTGTGTGAAGCAGCAGCAGCAAGAACAAGGTCTGCTCTAGGAAGAGGTTCCCAGGACACGTTATGGTACAGAAACGGGCTGCACCATGAAATGTTTCCCATATAGCAGAGACACCATGAGCACTTACATGCTCTATAGACTAGTTTGCTCTATAGACTCACCATGATATAGGTCAAGATTTTCTCCTGCATGTCAATTGGCAGATTGTATCTTGGGTTCAGTAATTTCACCAGCTTGTCTTTGCAGAAATCTTTCTTCACAACTAAAGACTGGAATCTTGGGCCACAGTTCTCCATACACATGTCAAGCAGCTGCACACACAAAAATCCTTCTGTTACACAGAGACCGGGGAAAAAACCCACAACTTGACTGTTTTTGTTTCCTTTTGTTTAATTTGTTTTAAGGGGTTATGAGGATTAGCAGGAATGAACAGATTATTGCAAGTCACTGTGTGCTCTGTTATACCTGTGCAGTACAAAGGAGATGTGTCAGCCACAGTTCAACTATTTTTAACAGAGAAGTGTGGTCACACTTGTTTCCATGTCATAGCAGTAACTGAACATACAGTACCTTAACAGCAAGAAATCTATCCAAAGCTTAAAAAGATTACTTGTACAGACTTAGCAATAGAATTCATCCACTGCCTAGCACATAGGTCTGACAGATTCTGAAGAACTCTGCAAAAGAAGAAAATCACATCACTAAATGCCTCTCTTCTAATCTGCCCTGTAAGTGAGAGACTAATGATAAAATAGAAGAGAACAAAATCAACAGCTCAGAGCACAGTTTCTTCATGCTTTTCAAAGGTCACAATCATTTGAAACAGAAGAGCTGAAATGTTCCAATTGTCACATTCACCTTCATGAAGTCTACTTCCAAAACTCTGCTTGAAATGCTCGGAGTAGGATCCCTGTAAGCCACATATCTGCCCTATCAAACACAGCAGCATGAGGTGGTGACAGAATGCTTCTCTCCCTTGTACATTTGGAGGTGGCCAACTACCATTCCCATTTTGCAGAAGAGATATCAAAAGCTGCCACTCCATCCCAGTCACCTGAGATCAGGCCAATACAAGTCTTGATGGGAAACTGGAGTCAATCAGATTGGATCCAGAATCAGGAAAAATGGTCACCCTCCTGTGCTTCTTGCTCTTCAACTGCAGCTTCCCTTTCCCTCCCAGTGTAAGAGGGAAGGTGAGAAGGTGAAAGCAAAGGGTTGACATTAACAAAAGGCTGCAAAATTTCATGGGTTTCCAGAGAAAACTTCCCCTGAATCATGTAACAGACAGGACATATTCTCAAAAGGATAAACATATTTTAAGGCATGATAATGTAATCTTGATAAAAGTAGGTTAAATATACTTTCCTATTCACAGCAGACTATATTTGACTAAGTGAAATCATTTTAGTAACTCATTTTCTAGCCTCAGGACTTGGGGATTTTTCTCTCAGTGTGATCATGAATTTACAGGAGAACAGGTTTAATACCAGAAGAAAATACATTGCCAAAATGAAAACAGGGTAGAACAAAGAGACTCTGGCAGACTGCTGTGCAAAAAACTAACTGAAAGATAATTACAAAAAAAATCTTGGCTAGAAACATTATTTTTCATAGAGACTACATGAAACATATGCTAATAAGCCAAGTTATTTGCCTGTGCAGTACTTCAAAGATGGTCTGTGTAAAATATTTTCAACCCAGTGCATGGGAAATTTGGTATGCTACTCCCTATTATTAATTCCCTGCTTAAGGGACTGGGTATTTACCCACTGAATGAAAGTACTGAACTAATGGGCTGGATCCTCCACTCAATTATGCCAGTCCAGCCCACTCAGAGAGAAACTAAGCTGGTATGAGAAAAAGAAGAATTTGACTCAATTATTTTTAACTGGACCATTCATGAACAAGCCACTTTCATGCTAATAACACCTTTCATTAGAATTTCAATACGGGTATTTATTGTGCAAATAGGACTTCACCATCCCAGGGAGCTCCACTGGAAGGAATAGATCCAAGGTGGCCAAGTCAGCTACTGCTCCACATAGCACAGTGGAATCTCAACAGAAACGTGTTTTAATAACAAAACTGGCGAATTAATTTCAACCAAACTTCCTGTAAGTGACAGACTGGATATGAGAAGGGTTGGAATGGACAGAGAGGCTGTTCCAGGCTCACTGATACCAGAGGAGATCTGCACTGAGCAAAAAAGGGAGAAACCTGTGTAATCCCAGCCTTCTGGCTGGAATCAGAATCACAGAACTAATGCGGTAAAAGGCATCTACAGAGAGGTGAAGCCAAACTGTAAAGCACAAACAAAAAAAGGGAGAAGTTGGTGAGTACAGCAGAAAGTCAACTACATTCCTTATCAGTAGAGACCTCACTCAGAATTCCAGAAGATTTGCTGCTCATCTAAAGCAGCCAGGAATGGTCCATAAAGCTGTAAGGAATGGTTGCAGTGTGTGATGGACACTTGTCAGACCTAAGGTCAACACAAGAAAACACAGGTGAACTGTTCGCTTCTTCGCATTTCTGACTCAAAGGGAACAAGCCATTAATCCATCTCCAGGATTACACTGTATGAACACACACTGATGTCTCCCCAGAAGAGTTTTTGAACAGCAAGATGCTATTTCCAAGGCCAGCACTTAAAACAAACCGGTATGAGCAGCTCTCTCAGCTGCCATTCCCCAATTACAGTGCAGGGGCTATGCACACTTTACCAAGATTCAGCATTTCAAAAATATTCCATTTTCAGAAGTCTTCACTTTTTCAAATTTCACATTTCAATGTCCCACTCAACGTCCTTTTCTTTTCTTCTTTGCCCATGTATACCACGAAGTATAATAAAATGGACTAGGACTGTTTTGATTGAGGAGCTGGAAGGCTCTCTCATGTTTTTGTTTTTTAGATCCTCTGCTCTGTGACATGTTAATTTAACAAAGTAAAATCTGAAGGCCACATTTGCCATGCTAAATTTTTTTGTACATCTAGAAAATTACAGACTATTGAAAGGAAAAGCAGAAATATTCTTAGAAAAAAATCCTCCAAAATTTAAATCTTGCCAATCATACAATCACAGAATGGTTTCACTTGGAAGGGACCTTAAAGATCAACTAGTTCCAATGCTCTTGCCATGGGCAGAGAGATAATTCACTAGATCAGGTTGCTAAGGGCCCCATACAACTTGGTCTTGAACACTTCCAGGGATGGGACATTCCCAATTTCACTGGGAAAATGACTCCCTTTAAAACATTTCCCAACAATGTAATGCAGAAATGAAACAACAATCTTAAATTTCTGCCCACTGCTTTGAATGTAAGAGTGTGTGTGTGGACACGGGCACAGAGAGGGACACATTTAATGTGAGATTTAATGCGACAACTGAACAGGTACCCCAGTGTTCACCACATAAACAGACTTAAGGTATCCAAAGTCTATCAGTAATAAAAAGTCAAGTAACACACACACACACTTGGTTGGATTCCAGCCTGAAAGTTCTAATCCTCTTCCCTCTGATTGCACAATCTCCACTGCCAAGCCTCGGTGTTATCAAAGGCTGGGCATGGAGCAACTTCATGGCCTGACACACATAAACCTCCTTTCACATGACTTCACAGGTAAATTCTGCAGCTCAGAGCACATGAAACCAAGCACATTATAGAGCTGGCACTCACCCTTCTTCCTCCAAATAAATAAATATGCACTTATGAGCCAGGAGAAGGAAGACACAGCTGAGATTTAACACGTCTCAATAACATAATCAGGGCTAACACGTGCAGTTGTGCTGCTTTGATGAAGACACACTTCATTCTGTGCTCCTTAAGCAGCTTCATAAGAAAGATTAAATTCTAGGATTTCAAGGTTGAGCAGAGAGAAGTGGATCAAAGCGTCTTTCAAAAGAAATGAGATTTGTAGATCCTTCTTAATTTTACCTAATGTGGGTAAGATGTTGAATCCCAAAGGCTGGAGGACCACATTTACTACAGGAAATACAGGCACTCATAGTTCATAAAAAAAAAAGAGTCCTTATTTTTGCAAAAATCTGGGAGGAAAACAACTTTATGAGATGAGAGTTGCACTAGGAGGGAAGGGCTTCTGTTTCAGAAATTGAAAATTATTTCTGTTTTTCCCTTTGCAATGATTTGCTGTTGTAATCTAAGCATTTCAAAATGGGAAACAGGAACAATTTCATTAAGGCAATTAAGAAGATAAAAATAGAAGATATAACACACAGGAAGAGTGATTTGGGAACAAAGTTAAAAGCCACACGTGGCCAACAGTGGGGTCATTAAAGGAAAGGTTTCACACGTGCTAAACTGATGGCAGTACTGGTAAAAAACCAAAAAGGAAAGAAGTCAGGGGCAGAGGGAGAAGCAAAGGATAGAAGATCTTACATAAGAACTAAAGCTGAAAGAGAGTTAAAGGAAAGGCTGTAACTTATTTAAATTAAAAAAAAAAAAGGAAAAAATATTGAGGAACACAGGGAGGAGAAATCTGCAGAAAGAAAACAGAAGCTGGGCCAAAAGGATGCAACTGCCTGACAGGCACAGGTAACACTTGCACATGTGTGTGGGTGAGAACAGACAGGGAGAAAGGGGCCTGGGATGGTACAGAGACTGAGAGTGTTGAACTGCAATCCCAGCTGAACCCAACACTCCTCCTGCGAGCAAATGCAGTGAGCTTCCAGGTCAAAGTGATAAAGTTCTTCCCTGGATACACCTGAAACAAGATCCTTCTCCCATTTTTACGTCCTCAAAGGCTGAGCTATAATGTCACCTTGGGTATATCTGCACTGTAAACACCCAAGGAACGGCTCCCAAACCTAAACACTGGGTTATCAAAATTGACTGTGTCAGATACCCAGAGCAGGACCTTGGTGCACAAGGACTGCACCAAGGACTGGAGGGGAAGGAAAGCAGAGCTGATACAGGGATGGCAAGTACAGTGGAAACCCAGTGTTTCTGTTATGCAAACACAGAAAACACACACACAAACGTGACTCACGAGACAGTGGAGGAGGAAGCCAGGAAAGAAGTGAGGAAATGGAACCAGCTGCAGGTATAAATTGACATGTTAAATACATTTATCTGCATCTCTAACTTGTCAGGAGACACTTGGGCAATTGCTAAGCGACCTACAATTCCACACTGTCCATCACTGATCTTCCTTAATCACTTCTCAGCACATGTTGATGTAGATAATGATTTTGCACAACAAATACCAAAGCCATGAGTAATGGTAGTCAGTGTGATGCAGACAGGCCCCTACAACCTCAAAAAAGGAAATGCTGAAAATAGTTTTAGACAATTAACAAAAGACAAAAGTCTCCAATAACTTAAAACACAAATGATATGATTCTTCTCACAGTTGCACTATTGTTAGCCAAGAGCAAGTCAAGTCAGAAACTCAGGACTTATGACAACATTAAGAACTTCCTGCTGCTGCCTACATTACCAGTGTAGTGGAAAACAGAACTGCATTAACAAACTCCAGTAAATCTTAAATTGACTGAAATGACACCTCCCCAAACACCCAGGCAGTTTAGAAACACTGTCAGGTTTTGGAAGCCAGATTATGTCAAGTGAGAATCTTTCCAGTCACTACAACCTTCAGTCATAACATCTGGATTTCACATGGCTTATCCTGTCTCTTGCTCATTGTTGCTACCTTTTCATGCAAGTTTCTCATTTATAAGTGATAACATTAATTTTTACAAAGCAGTTATCACACATTCCACCATGCTGCACACTGTGCTTAGTTTAACTAAGATCAGTACCACAAGGTGAGTAATAGAATGGTCAAATGTAGCTTTTATGTAATAACCCAACCTCCATGTCTTTCACAAACAGGTGGGGCACTCACAGAGGGACAGTCACTAGAGTAAATAAGAGCTATACTACTTCCACATAGTACAAATCTTAAAAAAAAACCCAACCAAACAAAACCACAACAATAAATGTCAGAATTTGCATCATCCAGGATTCCATGGAATGCTGGCAGACCATCTGATCTGCACTGTGGCAGTGCTGTGCACACAAACAACAAAGACTGAAATCATCCCGGAGAGTTGTGTCAGGGATAATTTGCATGCCACCTTATCGTTTAGAATGTTTGCCTCCTTAGTATCTAATTAATGTAAACATAGCTGTACTTACAGACAGGGTGAGCCTGATCTCCTTATGGTTACAGTTTTTTGCAAGCTTTTTCTTTAGTGCCTTAACTGCATCTTTAGGCCTGTGAGAAGAAATTAAGGAGAAAAAGTTACCAGTGAAATTGGGCTGTTTTTCTAGTTCATAACTTCATCCAAGACCCAAAAATATCAGCCTGAGATACGGCACCAAATTCATCCCTGTATTTACACCCACACAAAACGAGAGCAATTGCCCCATTGATTTCAGCCAAATCACTTCAGCACTGAGCTAGAGCAACAAAGCAGTGAATCAGGTTTGTAACTGCAGACCGTGCATTACTCCAGAGACTGTGCAGAGAAACAAAGTTATTCTCCTCTGTAAAGTCTGCTCCAAAATTATATTTTCCCACTATTGTACAACAGAACTACTTATCTAGCTTTTATTGCCAAGAAAGGGAATATCAATTGCCAGCTGTATCAAGAGTTGGCTGGTACCTATTTTTCACGTATGATGCAATTAAAAAATATTCTGCTGGGAGGGCTGTTGGGAGCAGGGGTGTCATGGATAACTTCTAATCTTATAATTGCAGGATGCATTTAACTCATCTGAGTAATTACCATGTATGGATGGACAACCCATTCCAGCCCAGAGATAGGGCCATTTCCAACCCAGCCATTTTGATTTCTATATATACATCCCATATCTTTTAACTATCTATGTAGGAGGAAGAGGGTGGAAGATGGTATCGAGATTATCGCACGTGGGGAGCAGTTTTGCCTCATTAATATGGACTATCTATAGTGTACAATTATTAGGGCCAGCCCAACAATCATGGTCAACATAAACAAGATGTCCTAATGCCTCTTTAGGATCTCTCTAGAATCTAAGATGGAGCAATAGGCACAAACACAGTGTTTCGATAAGAAAAAAAAGAAATGTTTGTTGAAATTATTTCAAAGCCAATAAAATTAAGTGGGTATTTACCATCGCTGCATTTCTCAGTTTGAAATGTTATACTTCATGTGAAAAAAAAAAAGAAGATACTTCTCATTTTTCTTAATCCTATGCCATACCCAGGCATACCAGGAAAGCATCAAGGGATGGATGGGAGCATGAGTGAGGAGAAGGAAACTTTCCCTTGCAGAAAGCTGTACTATGATTCCACTCCTGCTTCTTGTTTCCCTCACTGAAGCATCTGGAAATGCTCTGGTCAGGAGCTGGATATTGTATTAAAATAACCATTTACCTAATTAGATACAGCAGTTCTGCTGTTCCTAGTATCCTGTTACAGACTGTGACTAGTAGTAGCTGCCTAGGAGGAAGTTACAAGGAGTTCCTCTGTAAGCATAAGCTGTGCACAAGAGGAAATAAGTTTATTAAGAAAAGCTCTGTTGCATGGAAACTTCACATAAAAACTAACACTGAGGGTCAAAGCGTGCTGTTGCTTATGGCAATAACCAGAAGGGAGTTATTACTGACATTCCAAGCACTAAGAGCCACGGGTGAGAGAGTGTGGGATCCAAAAAATGAGAGGGAAGAAAAGTTGATACAAAATAAAAAGATACATGTGCAGCAACTAAGCCCATCTCACTCTCCTGGAGAAAGCTCTTCAGCTGATGTTAAAATACGCCACTGCTAGCAGTGAGCTCTTGCAATGCAAAACTGATCTTACATGAGAACGAATTTCCTTCTTCCCCTTTTACAGGTGAGAACAAGGAAGCTCAGAGCAGCAAGTGCCTGAGCAAACCTGGATGTGCAAGAGGCCACCTCAATCCTGGGAGCCTCTGGGAACAGACTCTGATGGGATGGATCCCACTGAACAGGGACCCAGCCATCGCTTCACCCCTGCTGCGACACAGCTGAGGAACTGGACAGTGCAGAACTCCAGGTTAAAAGCCGAGAGTTTTAAACAGTGTTGTAGGCACCCAAGTGCCCAAAGCCTTTTTATAAGTGGGTTTTGCAGAGGGCAGGGGTACCCGTTTAGCCTGATGAGGAGTACAGGTTGTGCAAAATACATCAGACTCAGGTGAGAAACATTTGTTACCACCTTTCCTCCAGCGCGTGTCCACGGGGAAGAGCCTACGAGTCTAATCCCTACAAGTTCTGTCGGCTCGGAGACGGGCAAAGCTTTTTTCTACGAACCAGAGGTACGTGCTCCCTGCTGCTATTTCGTTTTGGGCCACTTCACACAAGCGCCCTACACCTCCTGCTCGATGTCCCTTTGCCCTCGAGCAGCGCCGGTGCCACCTCCGAGCCGCGCACCGGCCGCTGTCGATCGCTCGCCCCCGGCCGCGCTCACCCCTCCTCCGTGGCGTTGATCAGGTCGCAGATGTGCATGAACTGCCCCCACTCCTCGGTCTGCAGCGATCCGAGCGTCGCCCGCTCTGAAAGGCCAAGGGGAGCCGCCGTTCAGCCGCCGGGCGGGGAGAGGGGGCGGCCCCGGCTCCCCTCGGGGCGGGACGGGGCGCGGAGCCCCCCCGGTACTCACCGACCAGGCTGCCCACGGCGGTGCCGAACGGGTCCTTCGGAGCCTTCCCGAAAGCCATGGCCGGCTGCCGGCAGCGTCCCGCGGGCTCTGCGGGGCTGCAGCCCCGTCCCGTCCCGTCCCCTCCGCCGGATCCGGCCGCTCCCTCCCCTCCCGCCCCGCCGGTCTCTCCCTTCCTGGCACTGGGGCGGGGCCGCCTCCAGGTACCGCCGCGGATCCTCGTCCCGGATCGCGGGCGGGACGAGCGGGGCTGCACTACCCTGGGGGGCTGGACCCACCGGGTCCGGGGGCTGGGCTCTCTGCACTAGGACAGGGCTCAACCCCCGAGGCTGGGCTCCCCCCCCGGGACAGGGTTTAGCCCCGGGGATGAACTCCCACCCGGGACAAGGCTCACCCCCCAAGGAAGGACTCCCACCTGGACTCCCCCCGGGACAGGACTGACCCCGCACGGACGGGCAGCCCCGCACCCCCGGCCCGGACCCAAATCACTCCCTGACCCGCCCGGGTCGCACAGCCAGGTCCTTTCTGTCCTGTCCCGTGGTCGGGATTGAACGTGCGAGCCCCCCTCAGCCACCTCCCGAAGGGGACTTTGTGGCTGAATTCACGAGAAAGTTGGCGTTTCAGGAGGCAAAGCTCCGAAACTCTCTCACAGCCCCTCCTGCTGCGCGACACTGCACCGCAGGTACAGACACACCCCAAACTCAGCATCCACCGCTACGGGATCACCCCCCTGCTCCCGCAGCCTGCAAACCGGTTCTCTCAAACCCCGTGTTCTTTTCTGATTCACAGGTTTAACAGGAGCAGAAGCACAGATCTCAAAGAAACAGGGAGGAAACCCCCAACAGTGCATGCAAGTTACATTCATAAAATGTAACTTTCTTTATGCAGAAACCACTAACGCGTTCCTCTCTCCACATATGTATTTCCACACGTGGGACTTTCTCGCTACAATTACTATCAATGACTTCCACTGCCACTTCATCACAAGCCTGACTGTACCTCAGACCTGCACAATACTTGGGAACAAACGTAGCATGAATGAAAATTAAAACCTCAGTTGTAATTTTGGTGGACAGAGAGTTGTAATTATTTCAGTATCAAACACACACAGAATTGCATTAACTAGCATTTGAGTACAGCTTAATCAGTCTTACAGTCAGGACATGATACAAGCAAATAAGTTATTTGCCTGACATTAGAATTTAATGAATTAACAAAGCTCTATTTGCACTGATTATGAGAGGTTTCCCTAGGATGAACTCACTTTCTTTCGTGGGTTGTACAACTCCGTGGCCCCATCTGCTGGATGGCTTTAACAGAAAGGCTGGAGAAAAATGTGGTTTTTTTGTGTACCTACAAGTATATCTATGAAAAAAAGTTATTATGACAACTATTTGGCAAATTGATTGTACACCATGAATGTAGGAGCAGTCTTTTTCTAACTCGTTCTATAATAAATGGGTGTTCAGCTCAGGGAGGCTCCATTTGAGACTGTTCTAATGAACACATCTCAATTTTCCTTCTCTCAGTCTTGTCATTTGGATATAAGCCAGACATCAGCTGTCAGAACAGGAGTTTGCTTACTTATTCTTGTTCACAGAATTTTGACAACGTAAATGTTATATCCATTTGCTCTTTAACATTGATACTGAAATAAGGGCCTGTTTAAATTAGCCCTTGTTAAACCTGCAGTGTGAGTCAGATCTTGTTTCAAAGAGCATATTTTATTGAGACTCTGGGAAAAAAAATCCGATGAAGCCTTTTTTTATTGGAATTTACTAATTAAAGTCACTCATTGAAAGCAGCTATTGGTCTAGATCTGTGAACTCTTAGAGGGCTTCAGGTTCTGCTTGAAACAAGCCTGCCTGGCTCTTCAGCCTGTTCCTGGCTGGAGTCCTTGGTATTCATGAATTGGTGGTCAAAGAGTCCCAGGAGTCCTACTGTGCTCCTTGCAATTTTACTATTATTGCAGATGCAATATTATACTTAATTATTACTGTTAAGGGACATTTTCTGTCTTTTGCAAGCATGTGGAGTATGTTATAAAAAGAAAGAAGGAAGAGGCTAAATAATTTCTCTTTGCAAAGTGTTTTGAAACAAAAGTGTTGAGTGGCATAGCTGATGTCTGCCTTGGCTCAGCTAACATGTATTATACCAACACAAGCAGGCTTGTCAATGTAATTTCATTTGCACCAGAGATTTTGATGTTGTTGCTATGTCAACTACAAATATAAGTAATTGCTATAGCTATGCAGAAGTTTTTTCAGTCTAGTTTGGCTGGTTTAAAGTTCAGTTATATATAATTAATTTAGTTTCTAAAAAAGTCACACCTTTACCTTATGTAGTCCTCAGTTCTCTTTTCAAAGAATCACATGCACACAGAGCACATTGAGTGAAATACTTAAACAAACTCTCATATTCATAATTTGATTTATGTTATTGACCTGTACCTGCTTTTGTTTGTTACATGAAAATGATAAACCATGGTGATGATTTTTGATTTAGTTCAAAACTGAGATTCTTAAAAGATCATTGTTCATCAGATATTAGGTGAGGAGTTTCAAAGTACTCCCTCCTTCATCTCCCAGGGGCAGAATTTACTCTCACAAACTTCACCAGAAGTCTATTTTAGTGTGATTCTTCCTTGTTATCCTGTACAACAGAGATACAGTTGAGAGGATTCTCACTCTACCTCATTAGAGCAGATGCCAGTTATGGTCTTTGCTGGTAGCTCAGCTTGAACAAACAGCTTGAGGGTTAAATCAAATCCCTTCTGCAGCATCTCCATTAACTCACTGCCTCCAGATAACAGCAAACCTAATCAGGAGCTATTTGGGCAGATTAAATTGATGTTTGGGATGCAGTCTCGCTAAGAATACAGAGCTGTCCTCAAATATCTACTTAGGTAATTACTATTTTATGAATAAAAAAATAAATATATATATAATCCAAACTCTGTTATGTTAGCAGCACATTTAATTTGCCTCTGCAGAAAAGGGAACAAATCTGGCAGTGCCAGAGGGAGGTGATAGAGGCCTGCAGAGGGCAAGCTTGGTCAAGGAATCTCCTCACTTTTCATGCAGCAGCTACTCAAAGTTAAGGGTGGTTTAGGAAAAGGCAATTCCTTATCAGCCATAGTGGGTTTTCTCATACACACGCTGCGGTTCAGATGCAGCTCTTTAGCATTACAATGCTTCCTTGTAATTTGAAATAATTTAAAAAAAATCTTTGTAAATGCAATGTCAAGCTCTCAAAAGGTCAGAGAGGTGGCATTTTTGTGGATGTCTCTGTACATTGGAGACTACTTAGAGAAGTTTATTTTGTAGGACATCCTCTGTGAATTTGGACAGTTGTAAAGCACGCTTGTCCAACTAAAGCAGGAATGCCTTCTGAGTTACATGACACTGGTACACAGCAGGACATTCAGATTGCATTTGGTACACATCACTGTGTGCTACCAGTTTATTTTAATTTTGTTTTCAAATCATTGAAGTTCATGATAACAATCTCTCATACCTCGCTTTGAGCTGCAATATAAATTTCTTTGCCTTCAGTCAATAAGCTTGAAAAAATCTGTGATGTTAACTGGCGCACTTTTTAACATTAAAAGATTACTTGTTGAGTGATGAGATCTCCAGATTAATGTTTTCATCTATAAGTGGCTGGAATGCATAGAACTACAAATATTTTTGTCTGCTGCTTAAAAAGAAACAAACAAAACCCAATAAACCAACCTCCAAATCCTTCTGTCTCAGGTAGGTGGTATAAGAACATAAGCTGCAGGAATCAACCTGCATCAAACCTGAAGCAAGCTGGTATTTTCAGCACCAGGAACAGTCTTGATTAGTTGGACACTGCAATTATCAGTGTAGAAATCAATCCTGGAAGGAACTCAAATCCCCAATCTTTGCACATCAGCTGCAGGTATGGCCTTTGCCAAGAAGGTCATTTTTTCTCCTCGTGACACTCCCACTTGAAGAGCAAAGCAGCTCTCAGCAAGAGCTGAGTTCAGCACTCTTTCTCCTCATTTTCTTAGTGTTTGGACAATGGCAATAACTAAAACCAGATCCTTTAAAAATACACATTTAAAGAACGCAATTTTCAGGCACTGCATCCTAATTAAATGATTTCAGCAATAATTGATTGCCCGCAAATAGACCTACTGGCTACTGCACCAAATATCCCAAAGCTTCATGGACTGGCAGGAACTTGTCACCCACAGAGCCCTGGTTCGAATCCAAGCCTTCTCCAAGCCATGTAGTGCCATGCTGCTCACATGGCTCTCTCCTGTCCTAATTAACCAGGAGCCTCAGCTGAGCTCTCTGCTGGATTTTAATTATAGCATTATTAATTCATGGGGAAAAAAATTGACAGATGTTTCAGGTTGGTTGTAGCAAATTAAAAGGCAGGTGCTTGGCAGAAAAGCTCAGAAATGATGAAACAAATGACTCGTGGAGGTTTAGCTGTTTTACAGTGAGCAGGGTATGTGGTACCAGTTCCTACACTGGAGAGCAGGGTGATTTCTCAGCATAAAAATAACAATAGCAACAGATTTTGCTCTGTCTGGTTTTTAAGGAAGCTTATAAACATGTGTTCACTTTACTCCTCTTTCCTTTAAACAGAAAAAACCCTTTTTTAGGTTGTTAGTTGAGATAAATTGTGTGATGCAGAGGTAAACAATAGAAGTAGTTGGTTACTCTGCAGTGATTGTTACTCAAACTGAGCATATATAATGAAGTAAAAAACTAATTTTCAACTCTTAGATAACCAGTGTTGTCATAATTTCACTAATAATTTCAATCACCTGACAAAGAAGCTCAGGAAAATGCTTGAATCAAATAAATGCATTACAGCAAACACAGGCAGGGTTTGAAAAGCTACCAAGGTCAGGATTTTAGGGAAAACAAGAAGCCAGTGCCATGACTTTGAGCTCTCCATCAATTATGCTGTTGCACAGGAATCTTTATCTGAAGTCTCAGTGAGTCTCATCTGTTGTGATGACACACAGTCTCAGATGAGCTGAAAAAACACTCTTTCAGTAGACACTTGGTTATTAAAAAGTTGTTTGGATACAGGTTCTGTCTCTGTTTTGGTGATTCTCTTCCAGGCAAGGAAATGTTACAGAGTTTGTGTGCTTTGTTTGTTTTGGCTTGTTTGTTTTTTTTTTTAAATGGAATGTACATATGCAATATATGGTACAATTCCCCTCAAAATGAGCCACTTTGTATTGTTTTCATGTGTAAGTATCATATAAAAAACAAA